ACTTTTCTGCCTTTTTCACTTCCCTGACAAAGCTGTAATCATGGTAATGAAAGGTTCTTGTGTGTTGTTGTATCTCTCTCTTTTGTGTGTGTGTGTGTTTGCAAATCAAACTTGGTGAAGAATGGTTTTTGTGTTTTTTCTTGCTGTACACAGTGATTGATCAATCAACCTTTAACAGTAGTAAACCGAAGCAAACAAGTAAAAACCCAAACATACTAATGGAAAAACATTGAGAGAGATTCTAATTATGAAAGGTATTTAAATCTTCTCTACTCCACTCCAGATACCATATTAACTAGTTACCTACAATATAAAAAACAAGATTAACCAACTACCTATACACTATAAGAATAAGAAACATAAACACAATCAAGATTGCAAGAAAAATCACTTACTAGGGTTTCCATCAGTAAAATTCTTCTGGCTTCCTTTGAGCTCTTCAATCTGCGCATCCTTGGCAAGTAACAAGTCAAGCTTGTTTTTCACCATCTCTTCTGACTCTTGAAGCTTCTCTTTAAGTGGAGGGATTTGAAGAGCAAGCTCTGCCATAGTCTTATCCTTAATCTTCATAGCATTCTTCTGCTCGACCATCTCCTGCTCCATATCATCCGGTATCTCTTTGATGGCATTTATTCTTTCACGGAAGCTAGGCAAGGCCATTGAGAAAATTCTGAAAATGGTGCTATCTCGCAACGAGAGTTAATCAGGTGGAATGAGAAGGTGCTATCTCACTCTCTCACTATACAAGGGTGTGTGAGGTACTAGAATTCTGAAAATGGTAATGGCGTGCCTCACATCATGGATCATTACCATTGATTTAATATCACAAGGACCAAATATGTGTAATTGACTGTATCACGTTTTTTGGATTTTCAAATCATATTTCCTCTATTACATAAGTACTTGTCTTTAAACTCAAGGTACAACCATTTTATCAAAAATCTTATAACTCACAAAACCCAAAATAGTCGATTCAAACCTTGCTTTCTTCCTCGTAAGCAAAAATAGTCGGGTTGTATTATGGTTGCGACGACTACAAGCTTCTACTCGTAAGCAAGGATTGTAATGTTTATATATACTCTTTGAAATACGACTCATGGAGACAGGTTGAGACGACAGAAGAGGAGTTGAGCTTTCTACCCCATTTTTTATTAAACGAAAAAATGTATTTCGTAAATACAATAACTAACTTGAATTTTGAGATGTCAAATTCTATAGTCGTTGTAAGGTTTGATTTGAAGACACAGATGTTGAGAAAGATGGCATGTCCTTGTGATGGAAACGAGATATGGAAAAGGTGTACGAGTTCCATGGTCGTAAGAGGGTGCATTCACTTGTACGTGATATATCTGGACAGAATGGTGATAGAGGATTTGTAGCGGAGGTGTGGAGGATGGGTGGAGACAGAAACGGTGACGAAGATTGGAGAATGGGAAGTGGGTGATGATCGAAGAAGATGGCCATGGCCATGCCATTTACGAAGCAGATCTGATGCATACAAAAAAGGAGGTGTTTTCATATCCCTCAGGGACCATGATTATCAATCCAGCAGGGAAATACACGGAGACTTTGGGGATTAATATGTTTAATTAATAATTAATTACGTCTTTTTTAATATTCTTTTGTTTTATTACTTCTTATATGATTTAGCATCATATATGATGGTCTTGATATATTATAGTATAATATTAACAAAACCCTAATCACATGTGAGTTGGCTTAGTGGTGTAAGGGCGACTTGGCCTGCAACCAAGATCGCACCAAAAATCGTCCGCGTATATGATTTCGTATACATATGTATCATATATGATGAAATAAAAGTATCACATGTGATTGTCAAAATCAAAGGTAAAATTGTCCGATCATGTTTTAGGTCCCACTTTCAAATACATTAAATCTAGGGACTAAATCTGCAATTTACTCTTACTATTACATAAAAAGCAAATTACGATTTTTTTCCGGTGTTTAATTTGAATAATTGTTTATCACATGTGATTAGAAAAAAAAAAGAATTATTTTTTTAAAAAAAATAATTAATTATTAATCACATATTATTTGACGAAAATTACAATTTTTTTAAATACTATCTTTAAAAATAAATTCTTTAAATGAAAAAATTTTATGCTTATTTTAAACGTACTAGAAGGATACTCGTGCAATGCATCGAGACGTATCTCGATTTCAATGCCTTGCTTTCTTATTTATCTATGTTGATATAAAACGTTTTTATGTGGTTTTAAGAAAGCGATAATGCTTTTTAGTTTTGAATAAAATATAAATTTTAAAATATCATAAAATTTGAAAAAAGATATGGATATTAGTATTAAATTAACTATTTAAAAGTTTTCTTTGTGTAATTTCTTTAATTAAAATTTTTTATTATAATTTAATTTGACATAACAAAGTAATTTAATTTAGGTTTAATAGTATAATATATGCTATTTTATAAAGCATTTGACAAAAACTTTTAGAAACTCATATTTATGCATAAAGTACTGTTTATTAAGTACAACTTATTAAAGCTCCATATCTGAATTCGTATAACTAACTGTAGATAAACATAATCAAATACAGAATAAACATCTCATTTGTAAATATACAAAATCTAAAATATAATTAGGTCATTGAGTTATAACAGAATACTTAATATTATATTTATAAAATGTTATATTATTAAATCAAAAATAAATTATTTTATTATTAAAATTAAAGAAAATTACATAAAAAATGAGAATTTTTAAATAGTTGATTTGATATTAACATTGATATTTTTTTTCCCAAACTTTTATAATATCTTCAAATTTATATTTTATTCAAAAATAAAATCATTATTGTTTTTTGAAAAACACATAAAATCGTATTATAGTATCGACAGAGACAAAAAATAAAATAGACCATTAAAATCGAGATGTATCTCGTTGCATTGTGCGAGTACCATTCTAGTTGTTTATAAAGATAATAATTAAGTATTCTGTTAAAACTCAATAATTATCCTAATTATTTTTAGATTTTTTATATTTAAAATGAGATGTTTATTTTGTATTTGATTAAGTTTACATATAGTTAGTTACACGAATTCAATATATAGAGCTATAATAAGTCGTACTTATCTAAAATTTATTTCCAATCTTGAATTTTAAGTAATATACATCAATAAACAGTACTTCGTACATAATAATTTTTTTTAAAATTTTTTGTCAAATGTTTTATAATATACTATGGATTAAAATAGTAGATAAATTTTTTAAATAAAAAATTTGGATCACATTAAAATCAAAATTATAAAAAGAAAAATATTAAATAAATACCTTAAATAACTCTTGTATCAATAAATGATTTTTATATTTTTATTTATATATTTATGGAAATTTTTATTTAAGACATTATTTAATGAAATGTATGTGTCTATATTAATTTTTTTATATTTTTTATTTAATTTCTATTTTTGTATTTCTCTCTCTTTCTCTATCTATATTATTTAATACTAAAAGGATACTCGTGCGAGTCATCGAGACACATCTCGATTTCATGTTCCATTTTATTCTTGATCTATGTCGATATAATATAGTTTTATTTGGTTTTGAGAAAACGATAATATTTTTATTTTTGAATAAAATATATATTTGAAAATATTATAAAATTTTGAAAAAAAATATATCAATATTAGTATCAAATTAACTATTTAATTTTTTTTTTAGTTTTTTGTAATTTCTTTGATTTAAATTTTTTATTATAATTTAATTTAACGTAACGAAGTAATTTAATTTAGGTTTAATAATATAATTTTTTATAAAAATAATCATTAAGTATTCTGTTAGAACTTAATGATTATCCTAATTATATTTAAGATTTTTTTATTTAAAATGAGATGTTTATCATGTATTTGATTATGTTTATCTGCAATTAGTTACATGAATTCAAAGATAGAGCTTTAATATGTTGTACTTACGCATAACTTACTTGTAATCTTGAATTTTAAATAACATGCATTAATAAACAGTACTTCGTGCATAAAAAATAGTTTTTAAAAGTTTTTGTCAAATACTTTATAATATAGTATAAATTTAATTTAGATTTATTAATAAAGTAATTTATTTTTGATTTAATAACATAATTTTTTATAAAGATAGTAATATGATTATCTTAATTATATTTTAGATTTTCTATATTTAAAATGGATGTTTATCTTGTATTTGATTATGTTTATCTGCAGTTAGTTATACAAATTTAAAAATGAAGCTTCAATAAATTGTATATTTACGCAAAATTATTTATAATCTTAAATTTTAAGTAATATGCATCAATAAACAGTAATTCATACATAAAAAATTATTTTTAAGAGTTTTTATCAAATGATTTATAATATAATATAGATTTTATTTTTATCAACTTCCAATAATTTATACAATTGTTATTTTTATTTATTAACTTCTAAATTCTAATAGTTTATATAATCATTATTTTTATTTATTAACTTTGAAATTGTTGTTTTTTTTAATTATCTTAACTAAACCAAAAATCAATTTTTTTTATTAACCTGGATATCCATCCCGTTATGCGAGTCGACTAATCTCAAACCGATCGCCTGCTTTGCAGATAGCCTGAAGTTACCATATTTAAACCTCCGTGGCCATATGGAGATTTTTATTTCTTCTTAGATTTGAATCTGGAACCTTTTGGTACTTTTGATCTTTGGAGTCAGGCTCAAACCAACCAGATACCATCCTTGTGGTTCAAATTATTACTTTTAACTTTAAAATAAAAACAATTCATTACATATTTAAGAGTAAATTACAATTTTGGCCTTAGGTTTGAAATATATGAAAGTGAGACTTAAAATATAGTTGGACAAAATACCCCAATACCAGAGGGTTAAAATCGTAATTTAATCCAAAAAAAAAATGTATAGAGGGATATAAATGTATTGAGATCCTATATTTTTGGAAAATATGGCGGAAATTCTGAAAAGGCCGGAAGCCATAAATGGTTCATATTCTAACAGTCAAACTTGCTAAAACGCTCATGAATTCCTTAAAGTGAACTTCTTTGTAACGCCATAGCTTTAGTTTCTCTCTCTCTGCTCATTCACACAACAATACAAAAATACCATTTGTTTTTTCTTGTAAAAAGAGGTAGAATTCATCGCCGGTCGGTTGTTGGATACTTGGTTTGTCTTCAACCAGCCGGCCGTGGTTGTTTAACTACTTATTTTCATCACTATTTTACTGGGTTTTTTGTTGTTGTTAATTTTGATTATTTTTATCAGGGGATCATCATATACGTTCGACAGAAACAATCATCATTTCTTTAGTTTGTTTCAGTCTCATGATCAGTAACTATACCGTTCATCATGTATGTTCACCATATGTTTGTTAATATGCTCCATCCAGAAAATTTACAGTTTTTCTTTAGTTTTGAGTTGGATCATGTTGCTAATTCATAGTTATGATCTGGGTAATCATGGGTTTTGATTCATGATAGCTCCAAGTTTTGATTTAGACTACTTGTGTTTGCAAGTTATTTGATTTACTCACATGTTCTTCCAATATTTGTGTTTATGAGTTTCCAGGGAGAGAGTTGTTAATCGGACTTCGTTTATGGAGAATACAAAGTCATATCAACAGAGACGAGTGAGTTTAATGCCTTTCTCACCAACACAAATGCTATGGTCGGCTGAAAATGGTAGCGGATGTAACAAGGATGATAAAGATAAAGGTGTGAACGTGCAAGTTATTCTGCGTTGCAGGTTCGTTTTGAGGTTTTTCTTAATCGTAATCTCGTGGGGATCTACATATTCTTGCTTGGTAAACGAATACAGAAAAATTTCCTGTCGAGGCACAAAATAATTAACATATAAATTAAAATGAAAGTTAACTGTAAAAAAGTATGGTTTAATTAAAAATGACATCAAGCCGGTTCTTTGTTTTCTTTCAAAAAAAATGTAATCCACATGCAATGCCACTACTGGTAGGCCACGATGAAACCACTTTCTGTTAACTCATACATCAAATTAAAGTGGGTGCACCCTCATTTTTTTCCATTGCGTCCGGATGACAGGTGGAGGCACGCCACCCCTAGGCTATTATTGAATCCGCCCCGACACATCAGGGACTCAACAATCTAGGACCATCTGTACTCGTCTAGCTCCCTTACCCGTCTAGCCTCCTCTTGTGACACTTTGGGACAATCAATGTCCATCTAGCTTCCTTTGGAGAGGCATGCTAGAGTCCCACGTCGGCTAGCTAGACTTGAACTCTTTCTCCTTGGTATACGTTGGAGCCTCCATTAAGGGCTCTTTTCAGAGTAATCTCATGGATCCACAGATTCTCACACATGTAATTAAGAACCTTGGCTTGATATCATGGAAACTTGATGCATTGAGTCGCCTTAATAATGAAAAAGCTTGTTATCAACATGAAATTTCTCAGTAATATGTGGTTTTCAGGCCATTCAGCGAGGATGATGTGAGGGCAAAGACACCTGCGGTGGTTGCTTGTAATGAAGATAAACAAGAAGTAATTGTTACCCAAAACATGGGTAATAAGCAGATAGATAAAACCTTTAGTTTCGATAAGGTTTGGTGTAATTGATTTTGGTTTAGATATATCTAGAGTTCGATAGACTTCCATTTTGGTTATTGATCAAGGATATAGTTGTTTGTATAGGTGTTTGGTCCATCCTCCAGGCAAAAGGATTTGTACGATCAAGTGGTTGGTCCTATTGTTAGAGAAGCTCTTGAGGGCTATAATTGGACCATTTTCGCTTATGGCCAAACAGGAACAGGGAAGACTTACACAATGGAAGGTGAAGGAGGAAAAGCTAAGGTCTTATTCTTGCTACAAAATAATATCGACTTTTGACGGAAAATCTTCTGCGTGAAGTTCAAACTTAATTGCAACTTTAGTACGAATTTAACAGTCTTTTCCTTTCTTTTATGTCAAAATAATCAATATCAAGTTTTTAACGTCAATATTTAGTCTCATTGACCTCAAATGTAGCAGTGGCTTCAGGACCCTTTTCTGGCATTCACTCTAGATTTTTTTTCTTATTGTTTACTCTGTGCAGAATGGAGAGTTTCATGAGGATGTTGGAGTTATTCCAAGAGCTGTTGAGCAACTTTTCGACACTCTTGAAGCTCAAAATGCAGAATACAGCATGAAAGTGACATACATAGAGCTCTATAATGAGGAAATAACGGATCTTTTGGCTCTGGATGATAAGTCCAAGAAGCCCATAACTCTAATGGAAGATGGGAAAGGGGCGGTTTTCATGAGAGGCTTAGAAGAGGAACTTGTGCGCAGTGCGGATGAAATATACCACATCTTGCAAAAGGGGTCTGCCAGAAAGCACACAGCAGAGACTCTTATTAACACACAAAGCAACCGCTCTCACTCGTTGTTTACCATCATAATTCAAATTAAGGAACATGCTTCAGATGGGGTAGAGGTTATCAAATGTGGGAAGCTAAACCTCGTGGATCTTGCTGGTTCAGAAAATATATCGCGATCGGGTGCAAGGGAGGTATATAATAGTTCCCCTGTACCAAAAAAAAGTTATTTAGGAGAATAATCTTCTGACATATATTATTTTAAATGCATGACCTTCTGACAAATTTTGAGGCATTCTTGTGTGTTAGGAAGAGACATTCTTCTGTTAAGCGGATGAGTACTTAATTCTGTGAGGTCATGCATTTAGAAAAATACTATTCTTCTACATAACCCCCAAAAGAGATTTCGGGTTTTGAGGCCAACCCTTTTGACTTCGTGTGCATGGCAGGGAAGAGCAAGGGAAGCTGGTGAGATCAACAAGAGTCTGCTTACACTTGGTCGTGTTATAAATGCGCTAGTTGACCACTCGGGCCATGTTCCATATAGGTACATTTTACTATAATGAAGATTGCAATGTTAAATGCAACATATTATAACAACCTTATGGGAAACATAATGCTTGAAAACATCAGGGACAGCAAATTAACGAGGCTATTAAGAGATTCGTTAGGGGGGGAAACAAAAACATGCATAATAGCTACTGTGTCGCCTTCTATCCACTCCTTGGAAGAAACACAAAACACACTAGATTATGCATACCGGGCTAAAAGCATCAAGAATAGACCAGAGGTTAGCATTCTTTTCCAGAATTATTAATTTCAACTAGTTTCTGACACCTTACAAATTTCCAACTTATATACTTCAGGTTAACCATAAGGCGACAAAATCAGTTGTTGTCAAAGAACTCTACACTGAAATTGACAGTCTTAAGCAAGGTATAAAACATCACATAAGTCATCGGTTTTTTGTGAGTTGCTGAGAATGCATAGTTGCATCATTTTTCTGTGTTCTCTTTCATCAGAATTACATGCTACAAGGGAGAAAAACGGGATATATATACCACATGATCGTTACCTGAGTGAAGAAGCTGCCAAGAAGGTTTATCCCCATATTAGTTTTTCTTAATTTCCAGTTGTGGAAATTGCTTTGTGTGACTTCACATGTAATTTAATGAAAGCATAGCATTTATGCAACTTCGAACGTAATTCATTGAAGTGTCCAATATTTACTAAAATGGGAAAGTTTAACTGGAAAATTTGCTGAAAAAAGAATTGTGTTTTTTATGGTTGGAGTTTTAACTGTCTCTTATAATTTTCTTTGTAGGCAATGACTGAGGAATTAGAGTTAAAAAGTAAGGTAAAAATACCTATTTTTGAGTTTTATGCCCCTTTTCATCATAATATTACAGTGAAAAATTGATTGTTTTCAATAGGAACTAATGGATCTTCAAGAACTCTTCTTTCATCAGCAAAAGTTGACTACAGAACTAAGTCAAAAACTTGAAAACACCGAGGTTAGATTGCTTTCACAGTGGTTCAGTTTCTGTCTGTTGGACCATGGAACTATTTTTATTTTGTTACAATCCACCAAGATTTGTTTGGTTTGCGGGACTCAATAGGATTTGAAGGGATTGGGAATTGAATTCCATTCCAACCCTATGTCTAGGTTAGAAGGAATGCTTGGATTTGAATCCCGATATTTCATTTAAATCCCACAAACATGGGATTCAGAAATCGCATGCGGGTAGTTGGTATTTTGCGGTATTTCATGGGATTTCTTTGTAATAATGTTTTAAAATATGTTAAAGACACTTGTTTTTTAATAATCAATTATAAAAAGGTAATTTAAATATTTTGATAATTTTTTTATAAAGAATGGAATTCAATTCCGTTCCAAATCCTAGAAACTAGACACACAGAGATTCCAAATGCATCCACGAAATCCAAATCCTTCAAAAACATTTGGTCAAACCAAACCGGCCCTAAGGATTTATTGGTGTATATGGTTCTTGCAATGCCAGAGACTACTCCAGCAAAGAAAGCAAGATGTCTCCAATCTGAAAAATCAATTGAGACAAGCAAACGAAACGACAAAGGAGAAAGAATATTTTATACTTAATCTTCTCGGATCCGGTGAGTGAAATTGACATTATATTCACTATTAATTAACTCCCATTTTCTGACATTTTCTACTGTTATTTAGAAAAAACACTCACTGAAAGAGCAGTTCAGCTTCATAGTGAACTTGAGAATGCAACATCAGAGGTATCCAGCTTGTTCGCGAAAATTGGTTTGTATCTTTCTTTTGAAAAATTAAGTCAATTTTATGGCTTTGATATTTCCAAAGAACTTGTACTGATATTGCTTCTTACATATTTTGTGATAGATCACAAGAACCACATAGAAGAGGGAAATAAAGTGCTAATCAAGAGCTTTCAGATGCTATTAGCCCAACATCTTGAAGTTCTTCACAACACTATTGTTGCTTCTGTAACACACCAAGAGCAACACCTAAATGCAATCGAAGAACGTATGAGATCCTTTGTATCCGAACAAGATGTGGTAAACTTTCCAACTTTATATTATCAAAACTTGTGTAACCACTTGAGAAACTGATCACTTTCTTTTTATAAGTCTATGTTTGGCAAACTAGCCGATAATCAAGATGTTGGCTGATAAAATAGTCATGTTTAGTAAAAAAAACTATCTGATAAACTATATTTATAGTAAAATGACCTAAAGGGACATTGAAAATTATTTGGAAAAATATGAGGGGCATAATAGGAAAAATGGAGAAAAGCTTCTCGGGTTTATTGAAAGTAAGCTAGCTTATTAGTTAGTTTATGATTAACCAAACGAGACTTTTTCAATAAGCTGAAAAAATAGGCTGGCTTATAGCTAACTTATGGTTGCCAAACATGGCCTAAGGGCCTATTTATTAGCAGCTTAACGAGTTTAATGGGACTCACAACTTATTCGATCAACTATATATGACTGTTTGGTAGTGGCTTAATGATATAGAAAGCTACTTATTTAGTAAGCTTCTCGGAGGAGCTTTATGCAGAAAGCAAGTTTTTTCCCAAACCTGCCTCTTCCAATTAACATACATTTTTCTTCCATCTATGAAAATACCTTCCCAATCTATACAGACAGATTAATCTACACAGACAATTTTATCCATACAGGACTCAATGAAAACCAATCAAACAGCACTAAGTCAAATTGCATAAAGTAACGAGAGAAAAGCTCAAGTCAGCTGTCAAAATAGAACTCTCAAACTATAGTCGGAAGAAAGTGAAGAAAAGCCTATCGGGATTAATGAAATCAAAAAACCAGCTTATCAGCTAGTTATGATCAACCAAACAGGGATTTTATCAATAAGCTCAAATAATAAGCCGGCTTATAAGCTAGCTTATGGTTTCCAAACATGGCCTAAGTCAAATTGCATAAAGTAAGAAGAGAAAAGCTCAAGTCAGCTTACAAACTCAGGATATTCGATTGATGTATTGATAGGCTACCGAAGGACTTCAAATACGGGTAAAAAAGATTAAGGAGGTATTTTCCGGTGGTATCAAATCTCTGGTTGGACTAGCTACTGAGTTCAGTGGAAATTCTGAAACAGCACTCAGTAATATAAATTCTGAAGCTGTCAAGCATTCTTCTGCGCTTGCTAAAGTGAGTAAGCTAATTCTTGTTCAATGTTGAAGCAGATTAAATACTTAATGGTTTCTGTTTTAAAAAAAGGGGAATTGATGTTAATGATATCTAAGTTTCTATGCAGCTTATAAGAGAAGCTTCAGTCAAGGTCGGTGACATACTTGATGATTTGCAAAGTAACCTTAATGATCAGGAGCAAAGCATAGCTGCATTTTGGCAACAGCAGCATGAGGTATATCGTTAACTATTAGTCAAATGTCTAAAATACCCTTGACCATGACAAAATAGGAGTCATTTTGGGTCAAAATGTGTGGAATTAATAAGTTTGTAATGATGATAATAGGCTATAGGCAGTGTTCTAAAAGGCTCGCTGTAACAGCCGCCACATTAAGCCTGTGGCACCCCATGGCCTAATGTGTGGTTTTGTAACACAATATTTGATTTTGTTACCTTTTAAATTGTTTACTATATAACCTAATTTAAATTGTTTAATATCACTTACTCGGTGAATTTAGTAGAAAACATATGTTTGTATATATAATATAATATGTGATATAGAGATTTGCAGTATTATATATAGGATGTTTTAAAATGGAAATTGTTACTATTATGGGCATGTTTGGATAGCCAAAAACCATCTTATAAGCTACCTTTTGAACGCTACTTGAAGTAGTATTTCAATATGCTATAGGGGTTCTTTTTGAACTTTTTCCGATTATGTCCCTTATGTTTTTCAAACTAATTTTTCAACATATAGTTTTAGGTCATTTTACACGGTTATCTACCTTAGTAGTTAGTTTTAACCAAACTTATCAGCTAACAGCTAGCTTGCCAAACATGGTCTATTCAGCTAATTTTCTTTTTCTCGTGATTTTGCTGTTTAACCAGAGCCAGTTGAGAGCATATGAGACGACCCAATCTGCATCTAGTGTTACTGTGAATTTCTTCAAGACTCTGAGCAAGGACATTTTTGGTGTGATACAAATGGTGGAAGAAGCACGAACAATGTACTACAAGAAATTAAGTGAATTCACGAAGAAGTTTGAGGTATTTTTTACCCTCCATTGCATCAAAGAAGTTCTCCCTTTTCACTTTATGTAACAAGTTGTTTTATACGGGTCTTTATATTCTTTATAGGACTATGCGGACAGCGAAGACAGACAAATACTAGCCAAAATGACCGAGCTTTTAGCCAGTTCAAATGCCAAGAAGAAACAGCTGGTAGCCACTTCATTTACCTTCATTTATCAATATCGAATATCGAGTCCCTAGAGTGGTAGACCTTGATACCGATACCATGTTATGTTAGAATATATGGAACCTCATTAGATTGCTCTTCAAAAGAGCCCTTTTGGAGAGAAGGAATGCTCGAATATATATAGAGGAGAACTTGTCCAAGTAGCGGATGTGGGACTCCAACACAACACTTTAGTTTTTTTTTTTAGTTTTTAAGTTTTCTTAGTCTTAGTTCCTTGGTGTAAAAGAAAAAGATGTTACTGGCTTTTATGTAAGACGGTTTAATATGTTGCTATATTTGTCAGGTTCAAACAGAAGTAAACGACATTCAAAGCTATATTGGCAGCAAAACTTACATGCTTCATCACAAAGTGTCAGACATGCATGGTTTCCTGTCCTCCACAGAAGATGAATACACAAGTTTCTTGGAAAAAACAAAGAAGCATTACATTGAGGATAAAATCGTGACTCAAAATGGGCAAGATGGTTTGACAGCAATACTTCAAAACTGGTAAAGAAAGATCATGCATTATAGGATATTATATATATAGGGTTAGGTTCAAGGGAAAACAAATGAAAAACTGAGGACCATCCTAGTAACCGTTCATCTGGACGGTATAGACATGTGCATACAAGTAATTTGTAGGCAATTTGTCCGGTATGCACACGTGCATAACATGCCTGCATAAAAACCAAGAAACAACTTCAGTTACTTGGCACATATGCATGCCGTCCAGATGAATGGTTACCAGGGTGTTTCTCAATTTTTCATTTTTTTTTGGGTTTTCCCCTAAACCTCCCTCTCTCTCTATACGCACACACACACACACTTACATATATATATATATATATATACATACATACATATATATATATATATATATATGTATATATTAATGACCGTTTACTTCAAAATGAAAAGGACAACCAAGGCAAGAACAGGGAATGAAGGGTGGAAGCAAGTCCAAGAATCTCTGAGCAGTCTGCAGAAAATGCATATAGAATCCGTAGATTCCACAATCAAGTAAGTTCATGTCACTCCGCTACTGGTATGTTCCAAAAAACCGTCACCTTCTTTTGAGGTCATTATTTTTTGGAAGGGTATCCCAGGCTATGCCCAGAACAATCCCGACAAATTGTGACTATAAGACGTCAACCCTTACAAAACTCACTGGCTACAATTTCTGTGGACACCTGGAATCAAATCTGGGTCAGATGGGATATTCCACCACATCCCCCTGGGTCTCAACCACTACACTACAACCCTTGTGGTTTTTTGAGGTCAATATCGTCAAAACATAAAGTGTATATGGATTTAATGGAAAATATAACACCGCTATCTATCAATCTATCTGTTTTATTTGTTAAAGAGAGTTTATTGTAGTTATTATAGACTTCAAGTGCAATAGAATATATTCTAGTTGTGACTTAGTTTCCTTGACCTCAACGTAACCTCTATCAGAAAATGGTTTCTTTCTTTACTTATAAATTGTTTACATTATTTCCTAATGCAGTGATGCCCTTGAAACCAACCAAGCAATCAACACTCAATTGTCATCCTTGGCCTCTTCAACAGTGGAAGAAATAGATATTGCACAAAGTAGTTCTCTCCCATCCGTTGAATGTAAGCTATTTGTGGATCTAAGAATATTTCTCCTTCCATCCCGAAAGACTCACACAATTCCCATTTTTGGGTTGCCTGATATTAACTGCAATGTTCTATTTTTGGCAAGATTTCAAGTTCAAATTACCTATTAGCTCATGTAGAGCCGGTTCAAATAAGAAAGTTAAATATCGTGAGAAGGTAAGAAGGGAAGATTGATATGTGAATCATTGAAAAAAATGGGGAAAAACTCTATTTAAAGATGCATGTGAAGATTACTCCTATGGGTTCACATATGCATCTTGAGATGGATTTTTGTCAATGATTCACATATGAACCTTATCTTAACCTTCCTTTCTTACCTTCTTACGATATTTAGCTTTTTATCTATTTGAAAAATAGAATAAAATTACGTATTAGCCCATATGATTCCCATAGTTTGGGTTGCCTAATGTTAACTGCAATGCTCCATTTTTGGCAAGATTTCAAGTTCAAATTACCTATTATCCCATATGGGGGCAATTCAATTAAGAAGGTTAAATATCGTGAGAACGTAAGAAGGGAAAGTTAAGGGAAGATTCATATGTGAATCATTGAAAAAGTGGGGAAAAATCTATTTGAAGATGCATATGTGTATGGGTTCACATATGCATCTTGAACTGGATTTTTTTCGATGATTCACATATGAATCTTACCTTAACCTTCATTTCTTACCTTTCCTATTTGGACCTCCCACTAGCCCATATTTTTTCGAATGGTCTTTAGTAGTTTGACTAGCAGTCAATTTTTTTTTAACCATTTGATCCGTCCAATGTTGCAACTTTTTGAGATGGAAGGGAAAACAAAACCGAAAAGAGTTATATCATCTTGCTAAAAGCTTCTTCTTTCCCTGTTGAGTCCATGTTGAATCTGTGGAGATATTCGTCTTTTTTCGCAGATCTATTGAGGATTAACCACGAAGAGAATGAGGCGATCAATTCCCTCACTAAACGTTCTCGTGATACTATGAAAGATATGGAGACTGTTCACTCTGCCAAAATAATCGAGATCACAAAAGATGCTGAGAAGTGCTTGATCAATGACTACATGGTACTAAATCATCAAGAAACTGTTGTTCTTTTTGTTAAATTTAGGGGCCGTTTACCGACACAAATTGGGTTAGCGCTAACTGAGTAAGATTGTGGTCTTGGTAAGCTTTAACTGAAAATGGTTGTTTACCATGTGTCGGTAAGCATTGACCGAGCATCTATAACAGATTTAAAAGTCAAAATCTCCAGAAGTAATTACATTCAACTCCAACTGCTTCTCCATTTAATAAAATATCATTTCTTGGTAGGAAGAATAAAAACTCATTTCTCTCTCCAAAGCAATCATTTTTGGAGAGTTCTCCAAATTTGGAGAATTTCACCCTCTCTCCTACTTTCTCCATTTGATGGAGCAAAAATCCTCAAAATCTCTATTTTGAAGAATCCGTTGGAGATGCTCTAAGACTAAGAGCATCTTCTACAGATTCTCTAAAATAGAGAAAATAAATGTTTGTTTTCTATTTTGCTCCAACAGATTCTCTATATTGTTCTCTAAAACGGAGAACACTAGAGAAACCTCCAAGTTTAGAGAATTACTTAAAACTTGGTGGGAGGTGAGAGAAATTAACTTCCACCTTTGAGACTGAGTTGTTATTATATTATATAAATTCTTTTTAAAATGTGTTGTGGGATGATAAATTTTTAGAATATTTTGATAATATAAAATAAAGAATCTGTTGGGTTGAATATAATTTTGTTTAGAGATTTTGACTTTTGGTTCCTTTAATTATGAGAAATTATAGAGAACCTGTTGGGGATGCTCTAAGAAACAGCCCCTTTCTTATCAAGTCAGCATATTTGTGGGTCATAGTGTGTTGGTAAACAACATCCTTTATTATCGGGTAAGCTCTTACCCGGTAAGAGGCGGGTTAGCAGATAGTAAACAACCCCTACAACTCGCTTTTGGGAAAAATATTTCTAAGTTTCTCTGTTTTGCAACAAGCAGGTGGACGATTCTCTATTCTCGACACCAAAACTCTGTAAATTACCGAGCAAAACCCACACCAAAGAACTCAAGACTCCGCCATTCGAGGTGTTGTTGGATTCATTTCGAAAATCTCGATCAGAGAAGCAAGAAAATGCGGATTTGAATGCAGTTTCTTTCGGAACCATTAACGGAGGTTGAAGATCTATAGGTACAATCATTCCTTCTATCTCATGAACACAGCATTGGGTGGAATTAGATATTGCTATGAACAAACTTGATGTAAAGTAGAAAGCAGATTATTTGTGGTAAATTTATTATATAATTTGTTTAAAGATTTGTTGAGAGTTCTGATTTCTGATGTCACATGAATTGCCTTTGTTTGTTCTTCTAGTTCTGCAAAAGGTGTTTGGTATGCTGGACATGATAGGACAGGACAAAAACTTGTTGTCTTGACATTCGGTGGGACATTAAACTAGGGCAGGATCTCAGTGGGACCAAGATGCATTTTTGTCCCTTCGAAATAGGTGGAACAAAAACTAGGAAGATAGAGACAAGATTGGTAAATTACTGAACTACTTATCTCAAATTAAAACCCCTTAAAACATTCCTGAATTCTTTCACCTGTCTAGCTCATTTTTGCGTGTCAGTCTTGTCACTTTGTATATATATGAGTAAATTATGGTTTTTGTCCTTGTGGTTTGCTAAAAACTACAATTTTCGTCCCTAAAATTTAGAAATTGTGATTTTTGTCCCTATGGTTTCCGTCATGTCTATCATAGAACACTATTGACTTTTTGTCGGCTTTATAATTAACAAGTCCCCCATCCCTCACCTGCAACATTAATTATATATATATATATATAATCAAATAAGAACTAATTAGTTTGTGATAATCGTGAGGTCCAATATGAACCAATCATTTTATGCATTTTAGTAAAATGATTAATTATAATTTAAATATTTTTTTTTATTAAATAGTTATCAAATTCGGTTTTCTTAATTATTTCAATAAAATTGTATCACAATCGTGTATCACATTGTGGTTGTGTGTAGTCTAAAACTCAAATCACATCCGTTATTAACTCATGTTCAAAACATTATCACAGTGTGTATCACAATTGGTTTTGTGTCTTACTGTTATAAATTCTTGAGTATCACAACGTCTATCATATTTGCTTTGTGTTTTACTGTTAGAAATTCTTGGTCGAACAGAGAAAAGAGATTTTAAAAAAACCCATTTTACTCTTATATATTATCAATAAATTTAAATTATTTAAAATTAATAAATAATTACCAAAATTAATATTGTTTGATAATAACCATTAATTATTAATAATGTATGGTTGAGATTAGATCTCACAGTTATCACAAACTATCGAACCCCTGTATATATACATGTATGTATGTATAGACAAATTTGTTATCTTTTTCTTATTAATATCATTTTTAAATTAATTTACGTAAAAAAAATTGAAGATAAATATAGTAGAAAATAAAAAATAAAAAGAAATTAATGTTTTGACATAAATCTTGCAGACAGGGAAACCGAGCTTCTGAACCGAACATACAATTTGGTCCCTGATTGGGTTTGCAATTCAACCAATTTAGCCCATCATATGTTATTACGATTTTCTTGCATTTTTTTTCAATATTTTTTATTTTTTATATTATAAAATTTAAAAATTGTTATACATTAAAAAAAAGGGAATTGCAAACGCTTGTAATTGGTACAAACCATACTAACTAATCAACATCTGGTTTCTACAAGTATCTCAATTTTTTTAATTTGTATGGTTTGTATTAATTAGAGGGTTTATATATATATATATATATATATATATATATATATAAACTTTCTTTTGAGAACTCATAAAATTGTGATTTTTTTCTTCTAAAACTAGAATTTTAGAATAACATTTTTTTACGTGTTTGTGAAACAAGAAATACACGTAAAAATAGTTTCACATTGTGAACCAAATACATATGAAACAAATATATGTTAATCAATATATTAAATACTATACATAGACATAAAAAAAATCATGTGAAAAACAACCTTAAGGTAAAAGTTCTAATGGATCTCACAAATTTTGAAGTTATCAAATGATTAAACCCTTATATATATATATATATATATATATATATATATATAGAGAGAGAGAGAGAGAGAGAGAGAGAGAGAGANAGAGAGAGAGAGAGAGAGAGAGAGAGAGAGTCAGATTCGAAAGAAAACAGTAAAAAAAATGAAAAACTGAGGAACAACTTAGTGACCGTTCATTTGCACGGTATACATGTTACTTATATGTACATGTGCATATTATTCAGATGAATAAAGTTATCAAGGTGTTCTTTAGTTGTTCATCTTTTCAAGGGATTTTCCTCTAAACCTTCCCCCACCCCCTCCTCTCTCTCTCGGTATATATATTAGCTTTATGGAAAACTATAAAATATAAATAGTATAGACTATAATGTAAAAAAGAACCCCAATTAGTGTCATTTACACTTTTTATTTTGATAACTGATTCCATGAGGTCCTAAATCTAACATCAAACAAAACCTTCCAATGACACTGAGGAAACTTAAAGGAGTGATATCAACTAACTCACAGGTTTTATAAGTTAACCTAACCTCAAGATTCCTTCAATGATACTGACCAATGAACCCGGTTGTCCTTAATAAAGGTATGTTTGATTGTCTTTTACATGATCAGTTTAATGAATTTATAATCAGTGCATTCATTCATACATCAAACAATACTGTTTTTGGATCCACACGTAAACAGCTGATGAAAATAATTAAATTATATAAGTCATCATGTATCTGTTATTCATATTCAGTTATCCTAGAAAAAATGCTCCCTTTTTTGGTTGTTAGTGCCCTTGTTTCTTATGCATTAGAAGAAGAATGGATGGAGGGTTTTGAAGTAATGGGTTATGGGTGTGTAGGTCCAAATGGCCACCTTAATAAATAAAAAAAACAGGTTAGAATGGTAACAGTTTTGATTAAAACTGCTATATATATCATCGTGGAAATCAGTCATACAAATTAGGATTCATGCGCAACTCACAGTAAAAATCTTTTTTATTTAACCATGAAAACCGATAAAAATTCCAAACAATTGTCCAAATCAGTTAAATGATTTTGATCTAGCACCTTACTGTAAAATACGAGGAAAAACACAATAGCGTATATGAGAAACACTGGTCTTACCAAAATTGTGGACATCACATAACGACTATAAATAATCAGTTATCTGCCTAATTACCAAAAAAAGGGAGGGTATTGATTGACATGCCATTTTCTTTCACACGGTCTCAAGCTTTTATAGAAATCGTGCCAAACTACAGTGATTCGAAAATATCTTATTTCCTGTTATAATCGACACAAAATGTCTTTTTAATAAAAAAAAAGTGTTCTTGTTTAATCAGATGATAGCTTGTTACTGAGAAAACAAACAATACAATAAGGGTAAATTGTATGAAAAAGTAATGCACTTTAACTTGATTTCTATTTTGAGTAACGTACTCTCAAAACTTCTAATGTGATACTTAAGATGTAAAGTTTTAAACATTTAACTACACGGGTAACCGGCTACCATGCTGATGTGGCGAGATATGTGGTATCCGGTTAATGCTTCAGCAAATAATACTGAGTTGGATACCACATCACTCACCACATCAGCATGATAATCCGGTTAATGCTTCAATCGGTTACCAAGGTACTTAAATGTTTAAAATTTTACATCTTAGGTATCAAAATAGAAGTTTTGAAAGTCTGTTACCTAAAATAGGAATCAAGTTAAGGTACGTTACTTTTTCATGCAATTTACCCAATTAAAAAGGTTTAACATTTACTGTGATCAAACAAACACCCATCATCCCAGTGGTTGGATCCAGAGTTTTAAAACGACTATAAATTCTCATAATAATTTTTTTCCAAAAAATTCATTATAATATCAGTTTCTTTTATCGTCTTTTACACTAAAAAAAATCACAAAAACGCTTGTGCACATTTTGTGGACCATGTAGGTCTGCCCGATACAATGTCCCAAGTAGAACACGATATGCCAAACTTTCCCTTTCTTTTCGTTACTTATAGGTCCCATGCAAACCAGAAATTATCGTTCTTTAGCATATAACAATCGATCAAGAAACCAATTGGTCTTTGGTCTAACGGTATGCGAGTCCCTAGCTTCCTAGGAGGTCAAGGGTTCAAACATCACCGAAGATGAAGAGGATGTATGAATTTATTTGCTCTATTTGTCGTATATAAATATTATATACTTAAAAAAAAACAATAAAATTTCATATCATTTAATTAAAAAATATCTACATTTGAATACCAAATTGTCATAATTTTGGAGACTTAAAAGTTTTATTTTTTATATTCAACTTTAAACATTTTATGAATTTTTGGATTAAACAATGTTATGATTTTACATGTTCGGTCAATTATTATATGTAATTTGGATGATGAAGGCTCTAGGGCTTTATGGACTCAAACAGTAGACTTTCAATGTACATCAGATCAAACTTATTACTATCAAAATGATCTGAACTGTTTCAAAGACCCAACATGCATTTTTTGTGCATTGGGCTCTTTCATTATACTGATATAAATATCAGTTAGTCCGCCATTTTTATTTTTGCTAGAAAAACAAGGAGATAGCTCCATGTACTCTGAGTCATATGTGGATTCGAGATACATTCTTGAAGGGTCGTATATTCTTCGTGTTGATCGATGATGATTACAATATCGGGTAACCCTGTCATATATTTAATCCCACCCAGATATGTTTGCAAATGAGATAATTGTCTTTTCGACATAGTCACATCTCTTTTATGTAATGGACCAATTCGTTAACATACCATCGAGCCATTTTTTATTAACATAATGACACCGAACCCTTATTGCAGCCCATGCTACTGAATCAGCTTCTTTATTTTTTAGTACCAACAATTAAGAATTGTTTTTCCCTCCATGTAACATCAGAAACCAAATCCCAAGCTTCTGATAAAAAACGAGCAGTTTTAAGAAGATTTGTAATATGAATATCTTTAAAAAAAGATAAAAATCTTTTATTAATACTACAAAACTGATTATCAAGACATCAATTTACCAAACTACCCCTGAAGAAGAAGAACAAGATTTACCACAAACAAAAAAACAAATCAACGAAACATGGCTGAAAATATGGGTTGCTATTGGAATGAAGTCATAAAATTAAGACTCAACAATGACCCACAAACCCCAATAAATTGGAAAGAGAAATGAAACCAAAAGGGGGAAATCCAATTCAATTCAATTCAATTCAAATTGGCAAGAAAACCAAACCCTAATTTCCAGACAAACTCCACAGTTTTTTTATTTTCTTTCTTTTAAAGATCCCAATCTACAAACATCTTCTGCCAAAAAGCTCCAAAACCCTTAATTTTTTTCTCATTTCTTCATCTGATCCATGAACAAACTCTGTCACCAAATCATAATGCTTATGGGTTTTTACAGCTAAGGATGATTCTTGAAAAGGGAACAAATAGATGTCTTGATGAACTAAAAAACAGGTTCAAGGTATGTGCATCAAGAACACATCTCCATATTCCTCTGAAAGTCAATTAAAGATTGTTGCCTTCTTGTCTTTTGGGAGACATTTAGGTTTGTCTGTAGGCAATTTTGACCCATACCCATTTGGCCCCTTGTGTATTTCTTGACATTAATGGTGTCTACCTCTTTTATCTCTGGTGGGTGTTATATAATTTCAAGAATCTTGGTTGTTGGGTTAGAACATAAGCAAAAACTGGAGCTGAGATTGGGTTTTGGTTTAGGTTTAGGTTTGATTCTTGATCTTGATCTTGATTTGATGAATATATCGTTTGCTGGCTCTTTTGGATGATAGATTTCTATGTAGTTTGATTCTTGATCTTAATTTGGGAGTTTTTGATTGTGGAAATTGGGAAAAACATAAGTATATGGTTTGTTTTTGATGAATGTTGTGGATGATATATACATATATGTGTGTGTATATATAATAAGCAAGATTCATGTCGAGTAATAGCTACTTAGGTATGGTGAAACCCTGTTGGAACCGCGGTTATGGGAGAGTAAGAGGGGTGCAGAATGGAAGAACGGACGGGTTGTTGTGGTACAAGGATTTGGGGTCTCACGTAAGCGGAGAGTTCTCAATGGCGGTTGTTCAAGCGAACAATTTGTTAGAAGATCATAGCCAAGTTGAGTCGGGGCAATTGGATGCGCGGAAAATGGGCCTTTTTGGGACGTTTATCGGGGTCTATGATGGCCATGGCGGACCAGAAACCGCACGGTTTGTGAACAAGAATTTGTTCTCCAACCTCAAGAGTAAGCTACCGTTCTTCATATTGAATTAAAGTTTCTATAATTTGATTCAAGATCGACCTTTTATGAACTAATATGTGTCGATTTTGATCATATTTGCATTCCCATTTATGTTTTGCTTCAATAGATTCGGCGTATTAAGTCTATAATTATCGTTGCAAAGTTGTCGTTAAGTTTGTTTATGATATCTTAAAGGGCATAGATCTTGTGCTCTTGGAAGAAAGTGGCAAAAAGCTGCACGAGCTTATTGAAATGCTGCTCCAAGTAGCGTTTCATTAAGCTAGCTTATCAGCTAATAGATTGGATTTTCCGCTCTTAAGCTTTTGATTCCGTTTGTATTGCGATTGCCGACTCATCTAGCTTTTCAAATCCTAATTTATCCTTCTTTTTTCACTTTGGCACACTTCCACTAGTTGGGGGTCTTTTCGGAAACAACTGTTGTACTCTTTAGGGTAGAGGTCAGGTATGTGTACATCTCATCCCTTTGGTGGACCCCACCTCCTGGTGGGATATATTGGACTCGTTTGGTTTGGTTTGGTTTGGTTTGTTCTTAAACTTTTGATCAAAAGATTACAACGTATGAAGTGAATTAGCGGCCAACGGGTTCCGACATCAATTTACTAGAATTTTGAGTCATTGAATCGTTCCGTTGCCTTACAGAGTTTGCAACCGAAGATCAAGAAATGTCGGAGGATGTCATTAGGAAGTCTTTCTTGGCAACGGAGGAGGAGTTCATTTCGCTCGTTAGAGATCAATGGCGTACGTGTTCACAGATTGCGTCGGTGGGCACGTGTTGTTTGGTGGGCGTTATTTGCAACGGATTAATATACATTGCGAACGCCGGGGACTCACGGGTGGTTTTGGGGAGATCGGAGAGGGGCGGTAGAGGAGTCTCGGCTATTCAGTTATCTGATGAACACAACGTGAACCGTGAGTCCGTAAGAGACGAGCTTCGGTCATTGCATCCTGACGATCCAAAGATTGTGGTTATGAAACATAACGTTTGGCGTGTTAAAGGGCTCATACAGGTATTTATTTGACGCACACTCGTTTGAATACTTTGACCTCTTGGGAGGCTGGTCTCTACCGATAACTAAGATACTGTTGGGCCAATAAATCTTAGGGTGCGTTTGGTATCCAGACATGATAGGACAAGACAGTACAAAATTTAGCTTTTGTAAGACAAAACTGGACCGGACAAAAACAGATAAAATGATTAATCTACCCCTAATTCGTTGTTTATATATTTTGATTAATTTATGTAATTTATTAAATTGTAATAAAATAAATATTTTTTTTATAACAAAATATATCATTAGAAAGTTTTCATCAAGACAATTAAAATGACACAAAAATAAAAAGTTTATGTAGTTTCCAATTTTTATTTTATACCTTCTCTATATTTTAATGTTTTATTTTAATAAATTACATAAAAGAATCAAAATATATAAATCATATAAAAAAATATTTTAAGGACAGTAAAGTGAAAATTTAAATAGCATAAAATACAATAAATAAAATTTAAATAAGAAATAAATTATAAAAGGAAGGCGTATTTGATGTTTTAAAGGAGAATTATGTTCTATTTTGATGTTATATTGGTTGAATATAGGTCTGTTCCACCTTCTTCCATGTGGTGGGGTGGAAAACGTCTGTTCCACTTCGTTCCACATAAAAGTTCTGCCAAACGTGGAACAGTGATCCTTGTTCTGTTATGTCGTGTCCAGTGTACCAAACGCACCCTTAGGTTCATAGATGTACTTGTTGAAATTTCGATACTTCTGAATCGATTTCATTTGAAACGAAAATGATTTTGATCGTATTATGAGTTTTCAGGTCTCGAGATCAATAGGAGACGCTTATTTGAAGAATCCTGAGTTCAATCGAGCACCTCTTTTGCCGAGGTTTAGGCTCCCACAACCGTTTACGAAGCAAATCCTTAGTCCCGAGCCATCAATCTCTATACACGAAGTTACCTCGAAGGACGAGTTTCTCATATTTGCATCCGATGGTCTATGGGAGCATCTTAGCAACGAGGAAGCCGTCAATATCGTCCACAATTACCCACGTAGCGTAAGTTTATAATTGCTTTCTTTGACTACGAATTCGGTTCTTGATGTTTCATTAAATTATGTGACCATTGTCGGGATTGAATTATACTAAACCGAACTAAAATGGCATCGGTTGGGATACGAAAAATAAAGAACAATGAAACCAAAAACCCGACCGACCTGACTTGAACCGGTTCCGTCCCAAACCGGACAACGAACCGATTCTAAAAAAGAGGTCAATTGGCCCCAATAAATATTCAAAAATCATTTTTTTGATGTTATAAATTTTATATTATTTACAAAAGTGGCTAAAAAGTGAATTTGGTTGGAAAGATAGACTATTTTGGTCAATTTCCCTATACCCGAGCTTGTGTACGAGAAGACTTCTCGTGATGTTTTCCGGTACGGACTGTTCCGGGTCTTATCTGGTTTTCTGGCCCGGTTTGGCCTGTGTGGACCCACTCTGCCCGTAACCTCAACTAACCCATAAAGTTCTATATCGTCTTTCTTGTTTGCAGGGAATCGCACGGAGACTAGTGAAGGCGGCGCTTCGGGTGGCTGCAAAGAAACGAGAAATGAGATATACGGACCTAAAGAAGATCGAAAGAGGGGTGCGTAGACATTTCCATGACGATATTACGGTTGTGGTTGTTTTTATCGACCCTTCTTTGACGAACCTAAACTCGAGTTTGTCGATGAAAGGAGGCGTTGGGCTCCCCGGGCCTAACAAGTTCTGTATGTAGACTCCGAAAATGACCCGAACGGGTTTACGGAAATTCGAACACGATGAAGGGAGAAGAACCCAATGGTTATTGTACTCCCTTCAAGCTTTTGTGTTTTATCTGGGTATTGAACCCATTTTATTTCAATCTAATATATTGACTTCACTAAGTGTATCTATGCATTGTTTTCATGAAGATATAAATTTCTAACTCAAAAAATATGTTACATTTTATATCTGTGTAAAAAGTTGATTACCAGCAATCCCAACTGGTCTGAAACCTGTATTTAAGGACACTGATGTGAGGGGTTTTTTTTTTTTTTTTGCTCGCTCGGTGGTTGAGGCTAGCAGGGGGTCTGAGATTGAACCCATGACCTATCTTGTATTTAGGCGAAGTCATCTCACCCATTTGTCAACTGTGTTATACGTCAGATATTTTATCTGATATTATGGAATTAAAGAAATAGGAAATAGATGATGGGTGGGCTATTCTGATCCAACCTAATACAAGATGTATAACAGATTTTCTATAATTTCTTTTACACAAAGAGCTAAAAATTAAGATTTTAACCACAAGGGTGGTACCTGATTGGTTTGAGTTTGACTCCAAAAATCAAAAGTACCAGGAGGTCTCAGGTTCAAATCCAATGAGGAATAAAAATCCCCTTGTGGCCACGGAGGTTCAAATGCGGTGACTCCGGGCTATCTGCAAAGCAGGTGGTCGTCATGTGATTAGTCGGCTCGCATAACGGGTTGGATATCCAGGTTAATAAAAAAAAATCAAGATTTATTTAAAAATTACATTTTAAAATATTTTGTAATTTTATTATCCAGTACATTTTTTTATCTAAGAACTTTATATAAAACAATAATAACTCAATGGCTTTCGTGATAATAAACACAATGCCATAACTTGGGTTGTGGCGCACTGTTTGTTAGCAGCTTAATGGGCTTAATATGGTTCACAACTTTATTCGGTCTTAATGATATAAAAAGTGGTTTATTTAGTAATCTTACAGGGGAAACTGTATGCAGAAAGCCAAGTTTTTTTCTTTTAAACATGTCTCTTCCAATTAAAAAAACACACTCCTTCCATCTATGAAAAACCCTCTAAAACAAAACTCTTTCCAATCTTTATAGATAGATTAATCCACATAGACAATTTTATCTATACATGACTTAATGAAAAATCAACCAAACAACCCTTAAAAGGGGGATTAAATAGAAATATCATCTTTTTTGAGTTCGAATCTAAGCATTATGCCGCTATCGAAAAACTTATGGCCATGAAGGTTTATCTGTGATGACTTCATGTCATTCATGAAATCGTGGTCACCCGAAAGATTATTCGGTGTGCATAAGTGGATTCTGGATACCATCCGTTACCAAAGAAAAAACAAATGATAATACCAATTTGTTATATTTTCAAAATAACTGGGTATGAATTGAATTAATTTATTAAATAAGGGGCCAAATTGAACATTTTTCAATTCTTTGGTCGATCATACACCACTAACGCCGTTGAACAACCCTCTCATCTGAACCCAGAAACCTGTGTATCTCACGTTCTTCTGCACCTCTACTCCATAGATATATAACATCGAATTGAAGTTTAAGCTATGAAATTAGCTTCGATCATTCAAAATGGGATGCATCCATCAATTAAATTTGATGTGGGATTGCTTAATTTTGCTTCAAGTTCTACTTCTACGCAGTTCCCCAAATGGGTGCATCTTCAATTCACTCATTCCCCCAATCTTTCATTCGATTCAGGTAATATTTACTGTTTGAATATTGAGGATGATTGTTGTAAGCTGCTAATTAGTTTTTTCTCCGGAAAATTGTACTGAAGCTGTTTGTCGAAATCGTTGGCCGCGGAAGTTATCGATTGTACGCTCAAAAGGAGTTGAACAAGAAGAATTTAGTTCTTCAGGTGAGAATTTTAGCTCATCTTTTCATATGAGAGAAACTGTTTATAAGTAGAAAAATGGTGGCATCCAATGTAGTTTGAACTTTAAATCGGAGTCAACCACCAAGTAATAGGAAACTAATTAATCCCTAATTCAACGTCATCTTTTCTGAGATGATACTAGGGTTCTAAAAGTATGAATTATTCCTTTCAAGAATTTTTTTGGATCCAATCCATAGGAATCAATAGAAAAGGGTAATCTCTTATGATACACCTGATGATTTTAATCGATGATGAAAAAAGAGAATTATTGGTTCGATTCTCTACCTCAATGACCAAACGAGACTGAATGCATTGGAACAAAAAGTTATCACGGTATCACTCGAAAAACTAGGCCTCAAGATTAACCATTTATCGCTTTGATTGCTTAGCCAAGTTTATATCTTGATTCTTGGATTAATATTTATCTAGTCTTTGCGGCAAAACTCACACAAACTCCTCACTTTTGGTGAGACTTGAATCTTTGACCTCCAAGAAGGTGGGGTTACTGGGTAGGCGGGTACCATTGGGCCAATGGCCCTTTGGTGTGCCCTTGTTTCTTGGTCTAAAATCGTACAAATTTGTAGATGATTCTCGTTCATGCCTTCTTTAAGTGACGAGTTGAACAAACAACCTTAACTGCTAATGTGGCTTAACTTGGGTGGCTTTCTCCCGAAGGAGATGAAATTAACTCAAAGATGGGATTAGTAAAGATATGATTGTTGGGGTTTGCTTCTTCTCATGCAAGAGCAACGGGATAGACAACCTAAGGTGAAGCCATAGCAGAATAAGATTAGAGGAAGGGAGAGAGGCGTGGGTGAGAGCTATCTACACTTTTGTGTTCACATTTTCAAGGTGTTTTATATGAAAGAAAGTGATGGGCTTGATCAAAGGTGGTAAAACGATTGGGGTAGAACCGTAGAAAGAGATGGGTTGGACAAAGACTGGTTGTTTGATATATAGGAGCTGCTCTTGGTAACATAAAAAAACTAAAAAAGAGAATAATACTCGATATAAACATGATATAATATAGTGGCACTCACATCTTCACATAGAGAATGCATACCTATATTTACAAGTTTGGTACACATGATAAACTCTGAAAAATTTCCAATGTTGTTATACCTCAAAATACTGTGGGATATACTGTGTTCGTTTGGTTTGGTTTCATTTGGTTTTTATACCTCAAAATACCAATTCATTTCTATTTGTATGAGATAATACAATACAATTGTAAGCTTCCTAATCAGACTTGAACGCCAAGCAATGTGCAAGGCTCAACTTTGATGTAAAAATATCAGTGTACTCCTCTATGGCTAGTTGGCATCTCATGTGTATTTTATCGTCTATCCACTCTTCTTCGGCCTTAGCAAGCTCTCAAAAAGTGTCCCTTTAAAGTTCGTTCTTTCTATTTTGACTTGGGTGCAAATTTAAAACAATCCGTTGTCCTTTTACAACAAAAAGTCGAATGAAGAAGGATTACACAGTCTAAATGCTAGTATAGGAACTCACATGATGCTGTTCACATTATCTTGCATGGTTACTGGCTGATAAATCTTTATATATTCCCTTTTGGTTCCTCAAGTTTTGATGAACAAGTTTGACTATTAATCATATAGAGGAAAGTCCAAATGAGAACCATATATTTTGAGAACCTATGAACCAACTATTTCATGTATCATTTATGATGAATAACCCTAAATAATAATGAATCATGAATATCATGCATTCTCATTATTCATGATGTCATGCATTTTCATCATGAATATTATGTATTTTCGTTATGAATTGTTGTCATCATGAATATTTATCACGACATTCATCATGAATAAAACATGAATAGTTGGTTCCCTTGTTCTTAAAATATTTATGGTTCTCATTTGAACCTGCCCTTAATCAAATATGGCAAATGGTGTTGGAGACCATATCAAAGAGATCAATATTTTGTTGCATTTATTTTGGGATGGAATGAGGGGAATTTTTCTCTTTTCTCTCTAATTATACATATTGCTACAAAATGTGCTCCTGCTGACAGAGAGGGAGACATCCTCTTCCAATTCATACATTGATAATGCCGAATCCAAAAGCCATCTCATTATTGATAATGATTCAGAAGAGAAGACCAAAGACCTTATAACTTACAAGACATCTGCTAGAACCGTGGCCTTGTGCGTAAGTATAACCTGACTATTAGTTCAAATTCATGAAGTTTTAATTACCCTCATTTAAGGGTCAAAATAGTCTTTTGTTGTATTAGGTGCTCTCAGCTGTGGCATTTGGTGTTGGTTTGGGATTGAAAGATGGAATTGGCAAGGCGTCGGAGTTCTTTGCTGGGTATGAACTTGAAGGTCTTTTCTTGGCATATGAAAATGTTTTAATCACTTTACTTTTCTTTTAGCCACGTAACCAAGTTAATTAATGTATATGTCCCATGAAGATTGCAATACTTGGGTCGGCATGCAGTTCGACAGGACTGTTTGACTATTTGTCAACCTAAATTAGGGCCTGTTTAATGGGACTCACATGTTATTTGGTCAGCTATACGTGACTGTTTGGTAGTGGCTTAATGATGTAGAAAATGGCTTATTCCATAAGCTTCTAGGGGGAGCTTTATGCAGAAAGCCAAGTTTTTTCCAAACCTGCCCCTTCCAATTAAAAAACATGCTTCTTCCATCTACGAAAAGCGCCTCCCGAGCAAAAACTTTCTCAATCTATACAGACGGACTAATACACACATACAACTTTATCCATACATGACTTAATGGTAAACCAACCAAACAGCCCCTACAATCATGACCAAATAGGAATTTTGTGGACCAAGAAGAGTAGCATCAATAAGTTGTAAAGTTGACAAATGGGCAAGTATGTACTTTTAGCTTGAAAGATTGCCAAAAAGGAAACTTTGCAATTTTCAACGGATACCTAATGGAAGTCGTTGCAATTTTCAGGTGGAGGGTTTTCACATTTTGCTTCTATGCATACTATTGTATTCTATCTTGATTCTTTTTATTTTTATTTGGAGATTCAAATAGGTACTTGCTTGAACAGAGCTTGTCTGTGGATAATCTTTTCGTTTTTGTTCTGGTATTCAAATACTTCAAGGTGCCGCTTGCTTATCAGGTGCGGCATAAAACTTTCTTATCCAATAAAACCGTACTTCTATGCATATTTTAGAAATGGAACTTGTTCAAATTTCGAATTCCGACTCTTCACTATTTCTATGATTATCAGGTGTGGCATGAAACTTGTTCAAATTTCGAATCTTCACTATTTCCTGTTATTTCTTTATTCGGTTGTACTTGCGATTACAGAATCGGGTGCTTTCATTCGGCATTGCTGGTGCAATAGTCTTCCGCTTGTCATTGATACTTCTTGGAACCGCAACCCTTCAGGTCGTTTCTTCAACTAAATAATGCCTCATTTTGTCCCATGAAAATTGCAACGTTTGACTTGACATGAAGAGTGTTTTGGTAAATGTCGTAAATACCCTTTCTCTTGTTGACCCAAGTCAATATAACTATTCCTTGTGATGATGAAGATGGTGAACAATAATGTTAGTTTAAAACGCCAAAAATGGAAATGATGCAATTTAAACGGGACGTTCCAAATTGTGAAGTGTTGCAATTTCTAAACTTTTCATGTCAATGTTTTAGAGGTTTGAGGCGGTCAACTTGCTACTGGCATCGATACTCCTCTACTCATCCTTTAAGGTACTGTTTTTATTCTTAGATTCTTCTATGAATGATACCGAAGATCAGTTAGCATCACAGAATTGTTAGGATCACAAATCGAACACAAAGTAATAATTGTAGGAAATGATAAATTAAGGACATGATATTACTTGGTTTAACAATTTGTGTACATCCATCTAGAGTCGGATTCAAACGAGAAGAGTGACCAAATAAGAGAACATGAGAACGGCCAAATCACATTTGATTACACTAAACTCATGTGTAAAAGGATTACGTGCGACCTTACTGTGCACCTTTATGTTGACCGTGTTCTATTATCGCACGTGATTTCAATGCAAAATCACATGTGATTTGGCCGTTTTCATGTTCTTTCTTCTCTTTGGATCCTCCCTCCACCCATCTAATATATGATGTGTGAATGTAGTATTACATAAAAAATCACAATGTCTGGTTCCTGTTACAAAATGGATTCGGAGTCTTGTACAGAACATGATAAAATAGACAAGTTGTATAACTAATACGAAGAACAGATTTCTTAGGGTGTGTTTGGTACATCAGATAGGACGGGACATGACAATACAAAAACTTGTGTCATTGTTGGCACGACATTAGACTGGGACAGGACAAGTCCCAAGTGTGAGAAAAATCCATTTTTTCTGTCCCACATAAATAGGTGGAACAAAAATCAGGGAGATGGGACAAGCTTGTAAATATTGTAAATTATTAAACTACCCATTTCAAGTTAAAACCCTAAAACCTTCCACGATTCTTTCACGTACCTACCTCACTCTTGCCCAGTCCGCGTACAAACTTAGCCTAAACTAGCACCGTCTCTTTCTTTACCCCTTCTTCTTTCTTGGGCCTTTTTTCAGAATTTATTCCAGTTCTTTCTGTCTCTTTCTGCAGTTGTTTTCTGCTGGTGACGATGATGAGGAGGATCTATCAGACAATTTTATTGTGAAGACATGCCAAAAGATTATCCCAGTAACATGTAATAATTTCTGCCAATCTTCCCTTTCTATGTGGTAATCTAAGTTCCTAGAATGCTCATATGAATTATTCTTTTTGTCAGAAAAAAGGTTAAATTTAAAGCATTTCTTTTTTCACTGGGTGCCGATTCACTTGTTACAAAAAGAGTATATCTGGTATTTATCTCATTTATTCTTTTTCCTTGTTTGGCAGCTGCATATGATGGCAATAGATTTTTTACAGTTGAAAATGGAGCTTGGAAAGTAAGTAATAGATATCAGTATCTTTTGTTTGGTAGTACGGTTAAACACACACACACACACACACACACACATATACGCTACAAACCAGAGAGAAGTTAAAATTAGATTCAAACAGTAAACCCTAAACCCTAAACCATGAACACTAAACGGTAAACCCTAAATATAAATTTACAAATGATTGTAGTTAACTAATCCAACAAGTTTTCTTTCTCAACAAGTTTCCATGCCACATAAAATTTCCAAGTGACTCAATTCACCAGACGTTTAATTGGAGAACAAAATAAAAAATGTTTGTCCTATTAGCTTAAAAACTAGTCGACTGTCAATTGGGCGAACAGCTAATTGCACCGTTTGTCTTCTTGGGAGTTAACCCTTTTAATAAATAAAAGAAAACTCTAATGGCATGTTTGTGATTAGAAATATTGAAATCCATTTCCAGACGTTGAATTTTTTACCCTTAGAAACGACCAAAATGTCCTACTCGGGTCCTTGGTTAAATGACCTCCTGTCAGATTCTTTTTTTTCTTAAATCCATGACCTTCTGACATGTTTGAGAATGCCACTACTTAACTGAAGAATGTCACTTCCATACACAAGAATGCCTAGAAATCTGTGAAAAGGTCGTGGATTTGAAAAACACTTGGCACAACATCATTTAGCTAAATAACCCGTCCTACTCATGGTTTTAAATTATGCCAACCCTAAACCCTAATTATGAATCTTTTGTTGATTCATTTTTGACTCAAAAGTGTCATCTTGAATTGTTTTTTTACGTGGTTTCTAACAGGCATCAAACGTTTTGGGCAGGCTACACCGTTGCTTCTCACTGTAGCAGTCATTGAACTCAGTGATATCGCATTTGCTGTACGTTTATTTCCCCAACTCCATATTCAACATATTTTTTTAATGATATCCATTTCCATTCCACCCCTTATTACTCCCAACCAAGTACCCTCTTAGCGTGGGTTTGGTACACTAGACATGACATAATAGAATAGGATTTACCGTTCTATGTTTGACAGAACTTTTATGTGGAACAAACAGGAACAAAATAGAACAGCTGTGTTCCACCCCCACACCATGGAACAAGGTGGAACAGACTTATATTTTACCAATATAACCTCAAATAAAATTTAATTCTCTTCTAAAACATCAAATAGGGGCCTCCCTATTTACATTTATTCATTCTTTAAACTTTATTCATTGTATCTCTTTAAACTTTCACTTTACCATCCTCAAATTATTATTTTTACATGGTTTCTAAATTTTGATTAATTTATGTAATTTATTAAATATAAATAATAAAAAAATAATATAGAAAATTAATAAAATAAATTTGGAAACTACATGAACTTTTTATTTTGTTGTGATTTTAATCGTCTTGACAAAAACTTTCTAATGATATATTTTTTATACAAAAATATTTATTTTATTATAACTAATAAATTACATAAACTAATCAAAATATATAAAGAACCAATTGGGGGTAAATTGGTCATTTTACCAAACACTGAAGAACTGTTATGTCCTGTTCTTTTATGCCATATTTTGTTAAGAAATATTTATTTCATTGCAACTAATAAATTACATGAACTAATCAAAATATATAAACTCATTGGGGGTAAATTGGTCATTTTACCAAACGCTGAACAACTGTTATCTTCTGTTTTGTTATGTCATATTCTGTCGTGTCCTGTCTGAATGCCAAACGCAACCTTAATGTATTAAACTTACGCTCACTTTACACCAACCCTTTCTAGGTCGACTCTATTCCAGCCGTTTTTGGGGTGACAAGAGACCCGTTTGTTGTTTTCTCATCAAATCTCTTTGCCATCTTAGGTAAGTCTGAGTCTTCAGCAAAACTGCGGTTGATGTTTTATCTAATTGGTCAAACAAAATTTTATGATCTAGTTTTTGTTTGATGCAGGTTTAAGGTCTCTATATACATTGATATCAGAAGGCATGGCAGATTTGGAGTACCTACAAGTAAGTTTTGTTTTGCAAGATTTTTACTGCTGTAACTGGAAACTGTAACACATCGATGTCATGAAAATTGGAACATTTATTTCCTTTGAAAACTTTGCATGGTAAAATGAACCATCTGCTCATATCAAATGGTTAGAAAAACCCCCTACGTCCCAAAGTAACTGTCCATGATGAAAAAGGCATACAGTTTTGGAAATGTGCGATTATTACACTTTTTAATGAACTAAATGACAATTTTTTAGTAGTGGTGTGAGTAATGAATTTCTTCATCTAGCAAGTGAGGGTCGAATCCTAGAAAGTAGACATTTAGTTTTGAAAGTGGGCACTTGTTTTGGGACAAACTAAGGGGATTGTTTGGTTGGTTTTCCATTAAGTCTTGTATGGATAAAACTGTCTGTGTAGATTAATCTGTCTGTATGGATTGAGAACATTTTTGTTTGGGAGGGTTTTTTAATAAATGAAAGGAGCGTATCTTTTAATTGGGAGGGGCAGGTTCCCTCCTAAAAACTTAATGAACAAGCCATTTTAGCCAATACCAAACGGTCATGTATTGCTCACCAAATAAGCTGTGAGTCTTATTAAGCTCATTAAGCTGCTAACTAACAGACCCTAAAATAGAAATATGGACCCTTATTTTAGGATGGATGGAATAAAATGTGTTCTTAGAAGGTATTTAGAATATTTGACAAACAGTCGGAGATTTTCTCGAAGGGTTTTGTTCCAAGTAGATAACATTTTACCATTTTTTGCTATCAGCCCTCCATTGGCATCGTTCTCGGCTTCATTGGATGCAAAATGATCCTAGATTTCTTCGGTGAGTATCTTCATGATTTCTTCTCATCATTCATACTCAAAGGATGTTTGGCAAACTAGCTAATAAACTAGTCATGTTTGTTAAAACTAGCTGAATAGCTAGAGATAATAATGTAAAATGACCTAAAAGAACATGTTGAAAAATTAATTGGAAAAATACATAGGGGCATAATTGGAAAAAAGTAGAGAATGTCACTGAAGCTTATTGAAACGCTATTTGAAGCAACGCTTATGGTTAACCAAACGGGGCTAAAGATGATATGTCACGGAAATTCCTAAAATCTTGCTTAATTTTTTTATGCAGGGTACCATGTATCGACTGAAGTTTCTCTCGGTTGCGTGGCAACTACTCTTAGCGCTGGGGTTCTGCTGAGTTTATTGAAGAAATCAGATTAGGATTTGGTCGTTATGCACTTGAGGGAACCCAAAATCGGTTTTTCTCTTCATTCTTGAAAGAAAACAAAAAAAATGGCAATCGATCGATCAGAACAGAATTTAAGATCCTGCACATTGTATCTCTTCATTTCAGTCAAAAAAATGTGATTTCTTGAATCATGTAATAGATACAATTTGCCAAAGATTTTTCTTTCTTTATATTAGATGCTTAACGAGGCTGAGGGAGGTTTAAACAAGAACGGTAACAAAATAACATAACACGAAAAAACAGTCAAATCACATGCAAAAGGTCAACGGAAAGGTGTGTGTGCGACGTGACCCACGAGCTCAACTCGTGGCCAAAGTTACGTGAATTGCATGTGATTCGACCGTTATCTTATTCTCTTATTTAGTTACTGTTCTTGTATGAACCTGACTCTAAAGATATTACCGGAAATTCCCTCTGCCCCTACCGTACTCCAGCTTGGTAGTTTTAGTTTAGTGATTGATATCTTAGAGAAGCTGGTAAAGTAAAGACAGACTCTTTCGAAAGCAATGGTGGCTAGGAATGGTTTTGCTGTCTAGCTCTTGCAAGCAAGGCGTGAAGCGATTCTCTTGAGCTCTAACCGGCTAAACCCGCTTTGGTGGCCCGCCCCAAGTCTTGCCCAATAAAGATTACAATATTGATATTAGAGTAGAGAATTGAAAAAAAAACTAGAACTGCTCGTTTTTTATCAGAAGCTTGTGATATAGATAAAAATAGGTGCAAATTCTAACATCACCACAGCCCACTTTGTATATTTTTGGAACAACTAACTTAATAAGGTAGCCTATTGGTAGGTCAAATAAGAAGGTAAGAAAGAGAACGTTCAGTCAAGTTTATGCATAAATTATTAAAAGATCCATTTGAAGATACATATGGGGACTCGTATGAATAATATGTAACATCAGTTCACATATACATATACAAATAGATTGTTTCGAGCTTTTTTTAATGATTCACATATGAATCTTTCTCTTCTTTATCTTTTCACGTTATCTACCATTCTTATTATTTTAGAACTCAAATTTCTCTATATATCTTTTAGAGTAAGCTATAAATTTGGTCCCTATGATTTGTTCAAAATAACACTTTTCGTTTCTACAGTTTTAGACGAGGAACATTTTCACCATTTTACTGATTTTTTTTTTATCTTTTACCCAATCAAAACCATAAAAACCAAAATCATGAAATTGGTTTTGATTGGGTGAAAGATAAAAAATCAATAAAAAGATGAAAACGAGCATCATTTAGCAGAAATTTTTAACAATTGTTAGAAGGAGGATTAACCGGACGTTTTTGTAAACCAAGGTAACCATATTGTAATTTTAAAACTATAAGAACGAAAATTGTTATTTCTAACAAAACACAAGGACTGGATTTGTAGTTTATACACCCATTTTACCAAGTTAATCCATAATTTACCTTTTTATTTTCGTACTCGGTTTTTTTGGTACTAAAAAGTAGCATAGAAATCGAGCATATTACGCTTTCACGGTCCACTTTCTCCCTTACTCACTTCCTTAACGTTCTCTGACATTTGAAGCTCGTATTGGAACTTCAATCAGGTAATCACATCTTTCACTCGTGATACGATCAATTGGTTGTTTCCAGATCCACTTTTGAGGTATACAGATTTTAAAGAAAATGACAGAAAAACAAAAAATAACGAAAACATTCTTCATTCTAACATACTTTTTTGACGGCGTTACAAAATGCAAACAATAGGACCCGTTTTGTTATTTTATTATTTTAGGGACCCAATTTATTAAAATTGGTAAACCATAGGGACACAAAATGTAACTTACTCAAAAATAATACGGCAGGTACACCGTCTTTACTTCCTGCATTCATACCCGGAAGTTGAAACACCAACCGAGGTCTCGTCGTCGTCGTCGCCGTCGCCGTCGTTTCTCCTCCGTCGATCGCCTGCTCTACCACCGGCTTGTTAAGAGTACGTTTTCCATCACCGAAATCTTTAAGATCTGCTGCTACTTTTGCCTAATCTAACGCCGATATTTGTTGGTTTTCCCTGTGTTAAAGTAAAATTTAGATTTTTCACTTTTCCTAGAGTCATGCATTTCTTTTGTGTCTGTTATTGCAAGATATATGAAGGAACTGAACTTCTGTTTTGTTCGTTTTGTGCATTTTGTGTGTGAATCGGCGAGTTGATGGCTTTGGCTTTGATTTTAAGATGGAATCGTTGACGGTGTTTTGATCAAATTAAGAACTAGGTTGATTAGCTGGTGTTTTGATGCTCAAGTTCATGATTTAGATCTTTGAAGTAGTGAAAATATGTGTTGACGTGGAGTTTTACATTGATTTAGGGTTTTTATGAAATTGAGAACTAGGTTGATTGGATGATGGGGTTAAAATGCTAATCTCTACCATTCACACCTTTTACTAAGCATACAAAACAGACAGGCGGTGAAACATCGAAATACAAATGATTCATTCAGAGCTTTTCGGGGAGAGAGAGAGAGAGAGAGGAAATACAAATGGTTCATCATAACCATCTTTCTTTCTTTCCTGTGACTTAGATATGAGCAATGGGTTTAATGTTTTCTATGTTTCATATATTTTTATACATATCTTATTACACATTTCTTATTGGTGCGAATGTGGTGGGAATTATCTATTTTGATTTAGGTGGTTGTCATTCCCAGCAGGGAACATTCAAAACATTGTGCAGTAAATTGAGACAAACCTGAATCAATGGATGAGCTGAAGACAGCGATGAATGACCATATGGATCAAATGCAAGAAATTGTTGAGAAACTTTCCTCTGAGCTTCGAATCGGATTGCAACCAGCTATGGATAACTTCATTGGCTTCTTTCATGCCATTGATTGGAAGGTACATCTTTCCACTTGGATCTATTCAGGTTGCTAAGTTTCAAGATACAAAACTATCCACAATAACACATGTTGCAATTTGATACTTCTGATTATCTTTACATATTGCTGAAGTTTCCCATCATACCATGTCAGTGATATCGTGCTACTTTCTTAATTCTATGATCTTCATTTAACCTCTCTTCAAGCGCTGCTTGTGAGCTCCTAAAATTATCACCACCTGCTTCAAATTCTGAATGTTTCATTCACTTTCACTCTGCCTTCTCTCTCTCAGGAACCTTGGTTAGTGTGTTTGATGCTGTTCCACGTTATGGTGCTGATAATAATTTTCACCTCAAGGAAGAATATCAACTTTCAGATGTCCTTGTTCCTTCTTTCTTGTAGGTTTACTATCTCTTGAGCAACAATTGTCAAGCTTTTTGTGCATAAATAATGTCTTATACTCCATCCTGATCAAGTAGCTTTTTAACAAGCTCCAAGGGTTTTTCCCACTTTTTTCCAATTATACCCCTTGTATTTTTCTTATTAAATTTTCAACTTTGTACATTGTCATCTAGCTTATTAGCCCATTAGCCATATGACTAGTTTATCAGCTAGTTTGCCAAACATAACCTAAATGGATGATGGTATTATTGAAGTGATCATACTGAGTGATTAACTCATTGCAGTGGCTGGTGTCTACCTTGCTGAACGACTAAACACCGTCTTGAGTGATAACTGGAAAAGCTTTGCAGGTCAGAATTATTTTGATCGCCATGGAGTCTTCCTCTCGGTGCTATGGTCTGGTCCTCTTCTTGTTTTCTCAATGATTATTCTGGTAAGTGCTTTTCTGTTGGCTTGTTTTCATCGTTCTTCCACTTTCATGATTACCATCTCACGTGATCATAATGTCAAGATTGCACAATTCACTATTTAAATCATATGATTCAATCGATTGAAGAGGCATCCAAGGCGAATTGGATTTATATCCGATTTTAGCATCTTATGTAGAATTTTGTAAATTTCACCCATGATCATATTTACCTTATGTAGGCCGGCTTTGTGGTTTTCAATAAATTTATTGATCTAAAACTTATTAACCACCTGATGTACACCGGGAAAATCAAAAGATTGAATTCAAAGGAAACCAAATGGTTCTCACTAGTCGAATGCTTACAAGGGGTTTTTTGGCTTTCGAGAGGCTGTAATCTCTCCACAGGACTCACACCCAAAAGAAGTGTTTACAAAACCGAATGCTTATCCCTGCTCCTACTCACACCAATTTAACAGACTCTTAAAGTCACTTTTCCATTTTTACCCCTTGTTAACAGAATACTCCTCCTTCCAAAATTCCTCTTATCAAAACTACTCCACATCCCACCCCTTTATTTCTAGAGAACATAACTAATAGCAACTCTAGGGTATAACACAACCATTTGTAATAGAAATATATTTTTAGTTGCTATTATTATCAGTTAATATCGTGATGCATGACTAAAGGGATAGGAGTATGCTTCACTAGGGTGTGATTGATGCACTGAACAGGACGAGACGGGACAAAACAAAAACTTGTCACATGTTTGGCACGGCATTAAACTTGGACCGGATGGGATTGAGTGGGATAAAAATCCACTTTTTTGTCCCACCAAAATAGGTCAAACAAAAAACAGCGAGATGAGACAAGATTGTAACTTACTAAACTACCCATGTCAAATTAAAACCCTAAAACCTTTCACAATTCTTTTACTCGCCTACCTCACTCCGCCCGTCCAGTCCAATTCTGTCAGAGTAAGTTTTGGTTTATATGCTGCAAGATGCTTGTTTTCCTTCTTTTTTTTAAATATTAATGTGTTATATTAACCATCTAAGCACATGAAGCTTAACCGGAAACTACCGCTCTATCCTTTAAGAAAGGGGACAGATCTGCTCACATTCCACCCACTGACCTTACTTTCAAGTGGGATATATTGAATTCTTCTGGTTTGATTTGGTTACATAGTGACGCTAACTTACAAACGGAGGAATCAAAATTGACACAACTATCTTTTGCAGGTCAACACGCTGTTTTCTTTATGTCAACTTATCGTGAAGTGGAAACGGGCAGAGCTCAGGCACCGTGCTAGACTTTCTACTACCAAACAGGATTAATGCTTCTGATCATGTACAATTTATTCCCCGTCTCTGAGATGCTTTCTCCGTTTCAACACGGTTTTAGGGGTAGTTCGTTACCGGCATAGATCACATACTATCTATATTCTTTTAGCATCGTTTCGTAAGTTTTCCTCTTTGCTGCTTATATCAAAATTTTGGATGTTCAATAGACAATTGAAGTTGCCTTCTTTGTGATACTGATTTTGCCTTGGAGCTCTTTCCTGTAGATCGTCGGTTTGAGTCTTATCTTGGGTCACTTTATATTTCCGACTGTTATCTCCAAGGTCCATAGAATTAACCGAGTGTGTGTAAGCTGACCTAGATACTCACAATTACCAAGAAAACAGTTTCAAGAACATGCGTGTTTTCTCCCCCCCTCCCTGGCCCTCGTTTTCTTGCACGTGTTTGCCCAAAAAATAGTTTCAAGAAAATGTGTGTTTACTCGTTTAGGCCTGGACACACCAAATCTAGCATTCAAGCACGGGTTTTCCACGTGTCGTATCGACATAGAATTTATTTCAGCCGTGAAATAAGGCTTCGTTTTTATGTTACGTTCTTCTTTCCATTGTTAAAACGAGATCGTAATGTTGCCAAGCAGGAGAGAGGGCCATTTATCCGTTTAGGGGTCAAAATAACTGTTAAGAGGACAATTTGGTAATTTACTGGTCCAAATCAAAATTCGGTAATTTAAGGGTGAGTTTGGTACCTAGATAGGATAGAAAAAAACAAGTGTTCAATGTTCGGTAAAGCATGATTTGACAGAACATGGCTATTAAAATGACCAAGTTACCTTAAACGAATTGTTTAGTGTTTTTTATATCAAATATTCAATTTGAATGAAAATTAACTAAAAGCATATTTAAAAATACAAAAACATCTAAAATAAAATTAATTAGAAGGTCACATTAGACAAAACATTTCTAATGGATTGTCCTTAATAGAGATGGCCAAATGGCCCGACTCGAGAAGAATTGGGACCGACGGTCTGGAACGGGTTACGATATTTCACTGAAAACAAGGCCTGGCCCGATACTGGTTAAAGGCTCGCCCCGATTTTTCATTTTAAATTTACTATAAATTTATTTTTAAATGTGTTTTTAAGTATATTCTTAATTTTTTTTTTCTAAATGTATTTTTAAGTGTATTATGATAAAAACGTATTTTTAGTGTATTCGGTTGACCCAGTAAAACATTCTAAAGTATATTTAATCGACCAAATTCTTTATAACAAAAACATATTTTTTTAGTGTATTTGATTGACCAAAATCTTCAAAAAATATTATTTTATATGTTAAAAACCGATTTAAAAAAAAAATTAAGTGGGATCGATTTGAAACCATCTCAGAACCGGTTCTCATAACCGATCATATACCTTAATCAAGCCTTTCCCTTTTTGACCGGGACCGGAACCGGTCGAGATTGTCATTGTTGGCCCGGGACCGATTTGGTCCCAACCCAACCCGTTCCACTACCGGTTTTGGCCATGTCTAGTCCTCATATTAAAGAAATTGAACAGAAAGATTTTGGGCCCGCTTGAACATCCTTAATATGGGCCCAACCTGACTGATTTATTCGATTTCTTTTAATAAAATAATTTATTTATTTTTCACAAATAAAATTTTATGCTTACCTAAATCAAAAAAATATTATCTAACCTATAGAAATGACTTGTAACCGGTTGTGATGGTAACAATGTTACTTAACGCTCAAAAAATATACAATGATGGATCAAAACAAATTAGAGAACACAACATAAAACTATGTGTTTAGTTTATTTTGAGACGGTAAATAATAAAAAAAAATATTAAATAAAAAGGTATTTTATTTTTAAAAAATAATTCAAAAACATAAATAATGGATTTTATTACATACATATGCCATTTGTTTTGATAGCAGAGTTGCTATAGTTTGAGGGAGAGCGGGGAGGGTCGTTTCCCGCCACGCTGCTCCATCCGATCACAAATTCGATTTATGAAGAACTTGATTAATCATGCAGTAATTAGTATCCGTTAGATCAAATCTCCTTTTTTAATCTGGTTTTTTTTTTTTTGTAAATTTGATGTCAAAATCAAACGGCTGGATCAATCGAATTTTCCCGCAAATGACGCACAGTTTCTTCAAAGATTTCGATACCAGACGGTAATTTACAAGCATATGCATATGTGTATATCTATGAATCATTGCATGCATATTTGTTCTTTACACGCGTACTCAATTCCGTTAATTTTAATTAAATTATATTCGAGGTTTAGTTTTTGGACAAAATCAAGGTCAGAATTTTTAGGAAGGTTGTTTCAGACATTCTCAATTATCGTGAAGGGGATCGATCACGTTTCAAATCGAGAATTAGGGCTGTTTGTTATATGCGTATGCGAAATTGGTTCATTAGTTTGATTATGTAATTAGTACTACATGATTTCCTGGGGTTTTTCCACTTGTTGACGCTAAAACAAGTTGATATTAGATCTCAGTTTTGATGCGAATTGAGATATTATAATGGTATTATAAGGGTTAATGTCTGTTTTTTCTGTAGGATTGGAGTTATTTAATTTGGATTAGTTTGACAATTTAGTGGGAAATATCTGATCGCAGTGGATTTTGTGTATTTGGCAAAAACAAATAGTGTGGAGTGGGAATCATAGATTAGTTTTCACTTCAAATTTTAGAATGGTGGCATGAGAATCAACTTTATATTCATGGTTTGAAGCAAAAACATCGATATGGGACGTAGAATTGGTAATCTTTATGAAGAATGTTGTTATCCTTGCTGAGTAAGAGAACATTACATGCTGATTCCAGGTATAATCTCGATTGTTTTCTTTGTTTTTTAGCAAAAAATTACATATTTGACATATACCCACCATAACCAGAGTCACCCTCATTAGGCAAGGGTGAGTGACTGAGGGTCAATTATGGAAGTGATTTGTCTGAAACATGATCAGACCGTGTTTTTCGAGGGATTTAATGAATACGTTTGGTATTTATTTGTCTGAAACTTGAGCGAGGTTACCTTCCAGCTTATTATCTCATATGCTACTTGTAGCTTTTTGCAGCATAAAACCATATAAACAGAACGTATTACCTAATACATTTTCTTTTTTCATGCAGTTGAATTAATGGTACAGTAATAGGCTAATTGTTTTTTAGAAGTGGAGTTAGTAACTTCTTTTTTTGATTTAATTGTTGCTTGGGAATTGAATCAACAGGGATGCATATGGATTTACTGTGAGGCCTCAATACCTTCAGACGTTCAAGGAGTTTGATAGTATCTATAAGGTAATGACCTATTGTAAATGTGTGTGGATGTTTGTTATAGAACAAGATTCTGAACATGCTACAGAACACAAAAATGGGACCTGTAGGACAAATAAGGTAGGGAATTAACATTGGTGAAAATGATGCATATATGCTTTTATGTGCAAAATTATCCAGATGCATCTTTTACAGTGAAAACTCGTCTCATATATCATCAACCAAATGAGTATTGGGTGGGATATGCATGTATATATACAGGTTTGTTTGTATTGAGATGTAGTTTATTCATATAACAATGGCATTGGAGGAAAGAAGAGCATATTGTTTGCTCATATCATGTTCCATTAATGTTTCAGAAGGAGGAAGAAGAAAGATCAACAAAATGGAGGTGCTTTCTTGAGCAGCATGCGGAGCTTGCTCTAGCGAACGCATCTGTTGAGGAGAGTATCGCTAAATCTGAAGTCACGGAACCGAAAACCAATCCTGTCGCGGAATCAAGTGGAGAGGGAGATGTTTTAAGCGACAGGAAGCCGACAAATGGTAATGAGACAGAGAGTGTTCCTGAAAAAGTGGATTCAGGGCCAAAACAAACAAAGAAGCCTGTGGTGAGAAATTGGGCGGAGGTCAGATCATCTCTCAGCGTCATTGAGGATATGATGTGTCGTCGTGTCAAGAGTAGAATTAACATGACAAATGATCCAAAGAACAGTTCTCAAAAACACCTTCAATCTATTCAAGAGGAGGGACCCGCCGATGAGGACTCTAAAGAGGAGTCAAGAAATAACGAGCGACCATATTCCTCTGGAGATGAAAGAGCTGAAGACACTCTAGAGTCTTCATTTCCTTGGAAAGAACTGGAGTCACTTGTTCGTGGTGGTGTGCCAAGAGACCTCAGAGGAGAGGTGTCCTTCAAATCCTCATCGACCGTATTATACTCCCTCCATCCCAAAATAAATGTCTACAATTTTACCCTAAATAATGGAGGGAGTAATGAATTTATCTATCCCATAATTAAGGGTAGAATCGGAAAGTAGACATTTACTTTTTTAAGTGGACTGGGATAAACTAAAATAGAAACGTGGACACTTATTTTGAGATGGAAGGAATACTTTTTAGCATAAAAATATCTTATCATATGCAAGATGTTATTGTTTCAGGTATGGCAAGCCTTTGTTGGTGTGAAAGCACGTCGGGTAGAGGGATACTACCAGAATTTGTTGGACGTATGTGATGCTGGCGGAGAAAGATTTGCCACGCCAGAAAAATGTAGAAAGCAGATCGAAAAGGTCATTAGTTGCATATGCCCAGAAATTCATTTTCTTAACATGGAAATTTTTGTATCTCCTGGACTAATCTCTTCTTCCGAAGGCAGGATTTACCGCGAACATTTCCTGGTCATCCTGCACTAAATGAGGAAGGTAGGAACTCCTTGAGGAGGTTACTTTTAGCGTACGCTCAGCATAACCCTGCTGTTGGGTATTGCCAGGTAATTTGCTGATGGATTTCATTCCATTACCAATATCATGTGTAGCACCATGGCCCGGCTCAAGTACTTGCAAGTATAAGTTTCAGAAGCACCAAGGAATATATACATACATACATACACAGGTATGTGTGTGTATCTATGCCTTGTGGAAGCTTAAATAGTACTCCATTGTCCCAAAATAAATGTCCACAATGAAAAAGGCACACAGTTTTAGGAATGTGTAATGATTATACTTTTTAATTAACAATGACAATTTTACCCTTAATGATAACGGAGTAAAGAATTTCTCATCTCATACTTAAGGATAGAATTGGAAAGTAGACACTTATTCTGGGACAAGCTAGGATAGAAATCTGGACACTTATTTTGGGACGATGGAGTTTATGATTGTTTCACAAAGAAAACCAAAGCACAACTGATAATGTTGTCCATATATTAAATGTCTGCTTCACAGGCAACTGCCTCCACAAATATGAAAATATGGAGATGATGGAGGAATTAATATTGTCTCCAAAAAGGAGAACCTATAATGGCATGCACGTATAGAGCAATGAAATTTATCAAGACCAAAACAAACCTCTCTTAAAGATCAAATATGAAGCCTACCAAGACTCCAAAAAGAGACCATATATCATTTCTAAGGGTTTTACAGAAAACCTGCTTGTACAAAGGAAGGGCATTGCTCTAGAATGAACTCACTGACACATTCAGATTACTGATCCTCCAGGCTTTTTCAGAGATGTACAAAGCATACATCTAGATTATTGAAAAAAGAAAGAAAGAAAAATCTTGAAAGGAGATTTGGTTGTTTCATCTTAATGTTGCCAACTGGGAGAAGCACTTTCATAGGTAAGATCATAAAACATGTGATCTTAGTGGTGCTTGCTAATATTGACATGGTGGTTTTGGAGAAACATTCAACTAAAATATTTATACTGCCTTGACTTGAGTGCAAAAACACAAATACTTATCGCCAATTCACAAGTCTTCCTATTATGTTATGCCATACCTGGTTAAATATCATCTTGTACTCTGGTTATATATTAATCAATTTTACAGAAGATCATCCCCCTCGTATTTGTCTATTTCCTGAGAGGAAATATGTCTTCACCTCCCCCCCCTCCTTATATACCCAACATAGAATGTTATCACGTTTCTTGCGCAAAATTTACATGTTTTAAAGAATACCAACAGGGGTATCTTTGAAGTATGTACTGCAAATGATACTTCATATGGGCCATGGGAATTTTTGGATTTGGTCTTCTTTTACAGAATTATATTCTTTATGCTTGGTTAATTTTAACAGATCAATTTCCGTGTTATGCATTGTTTTTATTCTTATCCGTCACTGGATCTAAAAGTCTACAGTTTAATTTTTGAAATCACCTGTGTAGGCAATGAATTTTTTTGCTGCAATATTACTACTAATGATGCCTGAAGAAAATGCCTTTTGGTACGTGTTCACTTGTTCATCTTTCATTATCCTTTTTAATAGTTTAATTGGCATGGTATTTTGTTTTGGGAGATACTAGATCATCTAAGGGCCTTTCTTCACTCCCCCTTTTTACACAACTAAGATTCTTAATGATTCTGTAGTTGCAGGGAATTAATATGGAATCTGGGAAAGGGTATTTCAACTTGCATTTCTTTAGGACTTCGATGAGATGCCTTGTAAGGAGACATGCACCCCTTGTTTGTACTCCAACCAAGATGATTGAAACCTACTTTTCCTTTCATCTATAGGCAGAAAAATGGAAGGGCCATGTAACAAGTTAGAGCGGGTAATAAATTTTTAGCACCGGTCAATAACGGGTTGGGTTGACCCGCAAACACTTTCTTTGTCCATCCTTTTGAATTTCATAAAGAATTACTGTATTAAATATGATAGCTAAAATTATTATCAAAATAAGGGTCCAATGTTTTTTACTAAAGCAATTCTTTTTGTTTTACCCATATGACCCGCTATCAATATTATATAGCCCAAATTGATCGACTTTCACATAAATGGGTTGAAATTTCCCCCTCTACCGGAGTTTCATCCTATGTAACAGAAGCTCTTGTCAACAGTTATTTTTATGAAGAGGAGTGCACTAGTTTCTTGCTAGGGAAGGAGATATGTTTTGCCTTTGTGACAATATGTGGAACCCCCAAGTCACTTTCCAAAAGAGCCCTTCAGGAGAAAGGGGAGGTTCCAACATATATACAGGAGAAATGGTCCAAGTCTAGTTGATGTAGGACTCCACCACCCCCCTCCAACGGAGGCTAGATGGACACAGATTGTCCCAGGGCGCCGAGAGGGTGCTAGCCAGAGTGGAGTCCCTAGAGTGGCAGACCTTGGCTCTGATACCATGTAAGAATATGTGGAACCCCCAAATCACTCTCCAAAAGAGCCCTTGAGGAGAAAGGGGAGGTTCCAACATATACACAGGAGAAATGGTCCAAGTCTAGCCGATGTGGGGCTCTAACAACCTTCATGATATGAACAATAGTTTTCTAAAAATTCATGTCTATGTCTGGGGTTTATATAAGTAAATAGATGCGAGAGGAAGATTGGAGAGCATCTGTGGAATTAGCATTTAAATATTTTGAACTCATTAAGACCGTCCTCATAATAGGCTCCAACATATGGAAATTAACAGTGATACCTTTTTGTATTTCTAATTTTCCCAAATATTAACTTGTATATATTAATTTAGTTCTTAAGATCACAGATGACCCGAGCAACACTCTAAGATACAGCCTAAAATATTTTGAAAGCATTAAGACAGCCCTCATAATATACTCCAACAAATCGAAATTAACGGTGAATACTTTATTTCTGGTCGCCATTCCGTTAAAAAAAAGTCCCCTACGAAGGGTGAGGGTACAGAAAGATTGGAGGGCCATACATTTTGTTGTGTTTGAAAGCATTTGGTAGAACTTGGTTTTCTTTCCAGTGACGTCGAGGCAAAGTGATGCTTCTTGATGGGTATTAGTAGTGACATGCCTTTTCCCTCTAAAAATAACAACTTCAAGTAACTGCACCTCTACTGCTACTTTAGCTCTATATTTCACTAGAAATGTTTGGAATTTATCTGAAACTTTTTATGTTTAGAATCTTCTCAACTGTCATTTTGCACCAAATTACTTTTTCGGTATCATTAATGAACCTCTTGACATATTACTCCAATTGGAATTTTCTTCAGGACTTTGGTGGGCATCATGGATGATTACTTTGATGGATACTTTACAACAGACATGATAGAATCCCAGGCATGTCTTTCGATTATCCTTACATTTCATCAAGAACATTACTTTTCTACTTTTGGATTTTCTGAAATATATTTTTATAGGCATATATTACTCTCCTACAGGGAGATTATTATCTTTATATTATGTGTTTACGTGCTGAATGAAAGACTTTTTATTCAGGTGGATCAACTTGTTTTTGAAGATTTAATGCGTGAACGATATCCTAAACTAGGTTTCTCCGCTGCTAGTGCATGATAATTCTGCTTTAGTTAATTTATACATGCAATTTCTCATCCCCATGATCCTTATTCTATAGTCAATCATTTCGATAACTTGGGAGTCGAGATGGGATGGATCTGTGGACCGTGGCTTCTTTCCATTTTTGTAAATATGATTCCATGGGACAGTGGTGAGGCTTATATCTTTGTGGATAACATTTCAGATTTAGAATCAACTATGCTGACTATAGTCAAATCCAAGCATTTATTCTTCATCTTACCTCCAAAAGGTAACTTACTTTTCTTTTTCCTTCAGTTCTACGTGTTTGGGATGTGATTCTATTTGAAGGAAACCGTGCAATGTTATTACGAACTGCATTGGCTTTAATGGAGCTATATGGTATTTATACTTATTCACTTTTGAATGATTTTTATTCCTATTATAGGTGATTGTTAACGATGAAGTGACAACTTCTTGTAGGTCATGCTTTAGGTACAACTAAAGATGCTGGAGACGCTATTACTTTATTGCAATCCCTTGTTGGCTCAACGTTTGATAGCAGCACTCTAGTTGTGACTGCTTGCATAAGTTTTTCGTACGTAACAGAAGATATGTTACAACAGCTTAGACAAAAACATAGACCAGATGTGGTAGCTGCGAACGAGGAAAGAAATAAAGGGGAACTTGTACGGCAAAACTCGAAAAGGCTGGCTACTAAGCTTTACAGTTTCAAGCGTGATCCTAAGCCGATTGCACGTGAACCCAGTATAAAGAAAGGATTATGTGATAAGAATGTACATGACAATAGTGCAGACTTGGTGTTTCCTCCTAAACTTGATCACTCTCTTGATATCACAACCATCGATTCAGAAGTAGATTCTCTTCCAGATATTCAAGATCAGGTACCTCTGTCTTTTAGCCTTAAGAGCTTTTTAGTTGAGAAGTATGATTTATCTGTTGTGTGATGATGATTTGACCTCGATTGTGCTCATTTTTGCTTTAGCCATCTTGCGCTCATGCCTTTTGGTGGCCCAATATTCTTCCTTATAAGTCTAGCATGTGTGACCACCTTTCCTGTAGAAATTCTCTTTCAAATTCAATGGGACTTGTACTTGGCAGAAATTAGGAATCCCGTTAAGGTAAAAGATAAGTTATATAGGGTGGTAATCACACCTGCTATGATTTACAGAGCATGATATAGGGACAGCAAAAGAGAACATTTACACAAGATGAGTAGCATATATGTGAAAGTTGAGGACTATACTAGCAAACAATGAGGGATAGGATTTATAATGATGGTATATGAGAGAAGGTTGGGATGCCACTGGCTGAGGGGGAGATCTAATACCACTTGAGACCTCACCTGAAACCAATATGAAAAACACACACACTCACCCAAGAACAAAACATGTGAACAGTACAAATCATAGATTAAAATAAACTCATTGAATGGTTAGGATTACGGGTTTGTAACCTTTGTGTGGCTTTCATGTATATATATATATATGTGTGTGTGTGTGTGTGTGTGTATGTGTATGTATGAACAGGGAAGAAAATGATAAATTTCTTGTAGTTTACATCTATCGCTCTACTAGCCCCACAATGATCTTTCTAATTCACAAGAGGGTCACTGCTATCAATTTTTTCTTCCCTTTTCTTTTCCTTCAGTATCTCTCTCTAAAATATTGGTGTTTTCACTAACAAAATTGCAATGATATGGTGGTTGTAATTTAGCAGTCGTTGATTTTGACATCCATGTGCATCAAGTCGGTGGGTGTCATATATAGGATGCAACAAGGAGAGTGAAGAGTGCTACCTTCAACCCTCTCTCCTGTCATGGCACACTCGTCTACTTTTGCATGACTGATATTTTCTCTCAGTTACTTTCCCGAATTTCTAATATTATTTTTCTTATTACCAAGGTTCACCTTCTGAATTAACTGACTAAGGTGTTTATATTTCACATAAGTTCACTCATCTATGTTTAGAACCATGCAGTTGATGTGACTGCGAACTTCTACTTTCCAAAACTACATGTGTCCTTGCTGAAAGTGACGAACAGCATAATCACTTTTCTTTACCTATTAGATAGATAAGAAATATCTGGTAAAAGATGAAACAAGTATACCATATAGTAAAACACTTCCTAGGTGATATATTCATGTTAAGATGCATAAGTCAAGCCTTTACATATTTCTGTAGAGTTAAACCTTACTTATTCACAGCTCATTGGCATAAGTATCTCAGCCATTCTTAATTCTGGCATTTATTTAATAGATTACATATACAGGTTGTGTGGTTGAAGGCCCAGTTGTGCTTGATGATGGAAGAAAAGAGAGCTGCTACACTTAGGTTAGTTCCGAGAAGTGTTTTATTTTTTCAGGGACCATTGTAAACCTCCTTGTGCTGACAATCTGGACACACACATATATGCAAGATGGAGTAAGCAAAAATGTTTATAAGTTGTATGGAATGGAGAAGTAGTTCAGTCTGCCGAAATGATCTCAAGTGGAATGTCAGATTTCTTTATTCAAGTTTTTTTTTTGTAAATCAGATGCATCTATGTCATTTTTGGTTCATAATCTATCTACTATAAAAGGAGAGTGTGCAACTGATCTAGTTCCGGTTGTGCATTTTTTTTGTAGATCTTATGAAAATTTTCTCACTACTTGGCATAAATTCTGTTCAATCGTTTTGTTAATGTTCTTTGTGGAAGCATACCAATTGACTTATATAACAAGGGTACTTGTGTCTTTCTAGAGCTGAGGAGTTGGAGACAGCGCTTATCGAGATGGCCAAACAAGATAATCGGCGGGAATTGAGCGCAAGGGTATTCCACATAATATATCTCTAGCATGTGTTCTCATGAGGGCTTAATCATTTGAGAACTCCAAAATTTGTGAGATCCGTGAGAACTTCTACCTTAAGGTTTTGTTTCACATGATAATTTTCCCATCTAAGTATAGTATTTAATATATTGATTAACATATATTTGTTTCACAATGTGTTTGTTTCACGTGTATTCAATTTACGGTGTAAAACTTTCTAAGTGTATTTTTTGTTTCACAAACATGCCAAAAATGTTCACAATGTGAACTGAGTACATGTAAAACAAACACATTGTAGAACAAATATATGTTAATCAGTACATTAAATTTTAGCAATAGACGAAAACAATCATATGAAATAGCACATGATGCAATAGTTCTCAAAGATCTCACGATTTAGAGAGTTCTCAAAAGAAGGCCCCCCCTATTCTCGTGGTTGTGCTTAATTAATTAAAAGGGCTCTTTATGTTTATAGGCGGTAGTGTTAGGCACCAAATAATGTGAAAAAGTGATTCAGATTTCTTAACCTAATGCAGATTGAGCATATGGAACAAGAGGTAGCTGAGTTGCAGCAAGTTCTTGGTGATAAGAAAGAACAGGAGAAAGCAATGCTTGAGGTTCAAAGATTTTAATTTTTATTGTTATGATATATATATATATATTGTTATATTTTTAAACATTTAAGTAGATAGAAACTGCGCGGCTTTTTAATATCAAGAACATTGCATATTGTATAGCTATGTATATTGATGTAGGTGCTAATGCGAGTTGAACAAGAACAGAAGGTCACAGAAGATGCTCGTAGATCTGCAGAGCAAGACGCAGCTGCTCAGAGATATGCAGTGAGTGTACTTGAGGTACCTTATCGTCTAGAATTCTACTACAGTTGTGAACACATTAAATATTTGGCAAGCTAGCTGTCGGCTCATAAGGTAGTCGATAAACTAGTCATGTTTTGTAAAAACTAACTAATAAGCTAGATAACAAAGTCAAAATGACCTAAAGGGTGCGTCTGGTATCCAGACAGAATAGGACAAAACAGTTGTTTAGCGTTTGGTAAGACTAGATAATATGACCAATTTACTCTTAATGAGTTGTTTATATCTTTTATATATTTTGATTAATTTATTTAATTTATTAAATCAAAATAAAATAAATATTTTTATAATAAAATATATGATTAGAAAGTTCTCGTCAAGACGATTAAAATGACACCAAAATAAAAAAGTTTATGTAGTTTCCAAATTTTATTTTATACATTTTCTATATTATTTTATTATTATTAATATTTAATAAATTATATAAATTAACCAAAATATAGAAACCGTATAAAAATAATATTTTGAGGACTGTGAAGTGAAAGTTTAATAGCATAAAATACGATAAATAAAATTTAAAGCATGAATAAAATGTAAAGAGGGAAGCATATTTGATGTTTTAGAAGAGAATTAGGTTCTATTTTGAGGTTATAATGGTAAAATATAAGTCTGTTCCACCTTGTTCCATGGGATGGGGGTGGAACACGCCTGTTCTCTGTTCCAGTTTATTCTAAATATAAGTCCCGCAAAACGTGGAACAATGGTCCCTGTTCTGTTCTGTCCTGTCATGTTCAGTGTACCAAACACCCCCAAAAAGATATGTTAAGAATTTAATTGGAAAAATATAAGGGGCATAATTGGAAAAAAGTGGAAAAAAGCTAGTTTATGATGAACCAAACGGGCTATTCTGTAAGCTCAAAAAATAAGCTAGCTTATGATTGCCAAACATGGCTTAAGTCTACTCGTGTCTAGTCTTTATAAAGAAATGCCTGAGAAACACAAATTTATTTATTTATTTTATATTTGTGGGGTGTTTTTAATCTTTGTTTGTGCTTGGGTTTGTGTTGAGCTTTATATGTGTATCGTGTTTAATAACAGTAGTGTGGGCNATGGGGGGAGGAGGAATGGAGTTTGAGGCAAATCGAAGTGAACTTGTAACAATTTGATTGCACATACTTCTAACAGAAGTTGTGCAACAAGGCATATATTATTTCAAACTTATCCTCACTGAAAGCCTATATATTGCAACATCATTCACATATTGTTATTAACTTTCTGCTGTCATGAGAACTGAATTTTTTCATTTATATCTTTCGAGTGGATGTGTCGAATAAATTTTATTCAAGAGTATTCAATATGAATAATCCTTCTAAATTAAGAAGCTTTTTATGAGGCAGATAAATTTTCTTTTAGCTAATTTTATCATCTTTGATATTTCAATTACTCCTAAGAGTTCAGTATTTGTTATATGCAGGAGAAGTATGAAAAAGCTATGAATTCCCTTGCTCAAATGGAAAAGAGGGTTGTAATGGCAGAATCTATGTTGGAGGCGACATTGCAATACAATTCTGGCCAAGTTAAAGCACTATCGCCAGGGTACATGCACATATTACTTCTCTTTTGACTTGAAACATGATCAATTTGTTCAAATCATGTCACTCATAATGCTATCTTATTGTTGTCTATTTAAGTATATTAATTTTAATGAATTAACCAACACCTTTTTGTGGAAAATATGAGGAAGAGGTTACTATCAAGAAGAAGAATGGTTTCTTAGTTAAAAGGCTTTATTTTCTTCCCACTTAGAGTTTGTGGAGTGTGGTGCTTACTTGAGACTAGGTTAGGACTTCCTTACCAGTTGAATATAGCTCTTTTGATGCTTTTGTTTGCGTTCGGTTGGGAGTCCCAAGCCGTTTAGGTGTATTGTTGTTTTCCCTTTCTATTTGCCAGAGGTGTCACCCTCTTTCCCATGTGTGTGTGTGTGTGTATATATATATATATATATATATATACAGAGAGAGAGAGAGGGAGGTTCGGGGGAAAACCCCCAAAAAAATGAAAAACTGAGGAATACCATGGTAACTATTCATTTGGACGGTATGCACATGTGCATACAAGTAATTGAAGATGTTTCCTGGTTTCTATGCACGATTGCATGTTATGCATATGTTTTGTCCCTGTATTTGGGATCGAGTTATGGGTCGTTGTAACGTGAAATCTTGATCAACCCTGGTGGGTGACTACTGTGATTTTCCCTTCTTTCTACCTATTATGAATGTGTAACGGTTGAGAGCTGGATTGATGAGAGAATCCATAATCTCAGTAACAAGTTTCTGGGTGAAAATATTCTTCCCCTTTTTGTTCAACAACTAGACTATAAACACAAATACAAGGATGCAAATAGAAATACTAGGAATTATAAACGTGGACCTAGTGGCCTACATGCTAAAAAGCAATAATGCTGAAAATGCAATAACTACTCCTAAATTCTGGCAATAACTCTCTCCACTACAAAGGTTTCTTGAACTTGCCATGTGTTCGTCTCTGATAAGTTTGCAGTTGAGGTATCGACCTCCTAACAGCATACCAGACAAATAATTTGTATACACATGTGCATACCGGGTAATTAACTTGTACACACATGTGCATACCGCATAGATGAATGGTTACCAGGGTATTCCTCAGTTTTTCGTTTTTTTGCAGTTTTCCTGAACCTAACCCTATATATGTAGCTCTCTACTTTCTTTTGATGAAATTGAATTGCTTTCACTTGGTTCTACTATTTCTCTGTCACATTACAAGCTAAGAACCCTTTTGTCTCCTAAACATGCCAATTCTGCATGATATGATGGAAGTTAAATTGTAAAGAAAAGTTAGATCCAATTATATGTGCTATCTTACACCCTTGGCGAATTAACATTTTTAAGGCTCTATCAATCTGGGGGGGTGCTAGGTTGGGGGTAATAGAAGGTGAGGAATGGAAATGGAATTCATTAATGGTGTCTAATTAAAGCAATGGGCCAATGGAATGGGCTATTACCAGATATTGGGTAATGAAACATTTCTCAACAAATTCGGGGATGAAGCTCATTCCCATTTCCAAACCAAACGATCTCTAAGACTTAACTAGAAGGGAAATATTGTGGATAAAAACTTTCCTCCCCAAACTTAGCAAAGCCAAAGGAGTCCTGGTGCACCATGGTATCCCTTTCTATCAATAAGGGCCATTTACCAACACAAATTGGGTAAGAGTGCGGTCTCGGTCAGCATTAATCACTGGCTGAGTAACGGCCTGTTTGTTAGCAGCTTAATGAGACTCGCAGCTTATTCGGTGAGCTATACATGAGTGTTTGGTAGTGGCTTAATAATATTAAAAGTGGCTTATTCGTTAAGTTGAAACTTGGGCGGAGCTTTATGCAGTAAGCCAAATTTTTCCCAAACTTCCCCCTCCCAATTAAAAAACACACTTTCCTTCCATCTTTGAAAAAAATATCCCCAACAAAACCTTCCGAACCTATAAAGACAAATTATCCACACACACAACTTTGTCCATACATGACTTAATGGAAAACCAACCAAATAGCCTCTAAGAGTTCCTCCCTTAGCTTACCTGGTCAGCACCTCGGTCAGCATCAATGACCGGCAAGAGGGCTTGGTGAATAGTGACATCTCTGACTAGATAAGCCCCTCTTACCCGGTAAGAGGCAGTAAGTAAGCAGGTAGTAAACCGGGCTAAGACTTTCATCTAGCAAGAGTTATTTTACAAAACTTTATTAGCCAAGTTGACCTTCTCTCCTTACTTTGTCTACTCACCTTATCCTAGAATGCTCATAAAAAATCCCTTTTTATGATTATCTTCTTCTTTTCTTCTTTTTGGAACAGCCCTTTATGATGTTGGACAATCTTCATGGTTCAAAGTTTCTTCTCATATAATAGCTGAAGTATGTTAATGTTTAAAAGCGTTTTTGAGTATGCATTGATGCATCAAAACCATTATGGTGACTGACTTAAGTCATCGTGCTGTATAGGCAGAGTCGTCCAGAGTCTCCAAAGGACAACAACAGTAGCAGCAGCAACAACAACAATTCAAACACAACTTCAAAAAGGACGGGCATACTTTCATTTGGACTTGGTTGGCGTGATAGGAACAAGGTTAGCATTCTCCACTACTCTTAAGAATTTATCAGCACTGCATACATTAAGTTAAACCTAGCTAAACTTATGTCGTCAGTAGTCACTAGACCTGAATTTCTAAAATTTTAGCAACAGAAGATCAAACAGTTGTGACCGCCATCTGTGTGGTTTTACACAAGGAACTACTCCCTTCATTTCATGAAAATTGCAACAGTTGGCTTCCCACATAGTTTAAAGAAAGTGTTTGGACATTTGGCAAATATCTAAAATACTTAACAATGCTGCATTTGGTACATGACAGGTAAGGAAAAAACTCACTTTCCCATGTTTGGCGCAACATGGGACATGACAAGAACTCACGGTTCCACGTTTAACCCGACAAGGGACTGGGACAAGGTGGGAAAGCGTGGAACAAAGAAATCTTTTACTTGTTCCACCAAAATAGGTGGAACAAGGTGGGACAAGAATGAGACAAAAACTAAAATATTACTAATCTACCCTTGTTTGATGTATAACCTTGATATGGTATTCATCTTAGTGGTCACCACCGCTAGTCATAGCCGCCACCATCACCGGCGGCCACGGGTAGCCACCACGGCCACCTTTACCTCCTCCACTACAACCTCCACCACCTCCACAACCACCATCGGCCGCCAACCACCACCGCCCATTGCTACCACCACTACTGTTGTCGGCCACCTCCACCATAACCACTACCACCACCATCGGCTACCACTACATCAGTTTATTATAATGACGCCATTTTTTGATAATTACGGGTGTCCGGACAAGCTTAAGCACACCTTGACTAATCACATGAGACCCTGAAGATAAGACCAAGAAAATTCCCCCTGGGGAGATTCGAACGGGCAACCCATGAGGAGCCCCAAAGCCTAGCCTTTATTTGCCACTTGAGCAGATTGGTAATTTAATTATTTTTCAAAAAACGAGTTTGTTTCATTTTTCATTAGAAAGGGGGAGTATAATCTTAGCTTCCTTTGCTAGGACATAATAGGAGTTTCTTTCAATTTATAGTCTTCTTTTTTAACATGTTGACACAAGTGTTTTGTAGTCATCATGTTAAAAAGTAATCACTTTCACACGCGTTCACCGGTTTGGGGTCTTCATAGAAACAGTTGTTCTACTCTTTGAGGTAGAGGACAGGTCTGCTTACATCCCATCCCCTAGACCCCACCTCCAAGTGAGATAAATATATATATATATATATATATATATATATATATATGGATAGAAAGAGGGGGGGGTTTCGGGAAAACCCCAAAAGAATGAAAAACCGAGGAACACCCTAGTAACAATTCATCTGTACAATATGCACATGTGCATATACATAATTTGAAGTTGTTTCTTGGTTTCTATGCACGTGTAGGTGCATACCGGACAAATTGCTAATAAATTACTTGTATGCACATGTGCATACCATCCAAATGAACGGTTACCAGGTGTGTTCCTCGGTTTTTCATTTTTTTTTTGCAGTTTTCCCCTAAATCTGACCCTATATATAGGGAGGTTTAGGGAAAACCCCCAAAAATGAAAAACTAAAGAACACTTGTACCCGTTCATTTGGATGGTATGTACATATGCATACAAGTAATTGAAGTTTTTTGTTGGTTTTTATACACATATGAATACCGGAAAAATTGCTTACCAAATACTTATATGCACATGTGCATACCGTCCAAATGAAGGGTTACGAGGGTGTTCCTCAGTTTTTCATTTTTTAGGGGGTTTTCCCTTGAGGGTTGGATTCTGGTGAGAAGGAGAGTTAAGATGAGAAGCATAAGAAGGGATCTCCACCCTTGGATGCACATCAGGATGAGATGCACCGAGGTGCACCGGGTCAATCTGCCTATCAACCGTGATTCATGTGTGGGTTTGAGATTAAAGGTGATCAAGGGTACAGATCCCTTCCTATGCTTCTCACCTTAACTCTCATTCTCACACAATCTATCGCCTTTCCCCTGAACCTCCTTTCTCTCTCTCTCTCTCTCTATATATATATATATATATATATATATAGGTAGGTGAAGGATCATGTGAGAAAGGAAGTTATGATGAGAAACATAAGAAGAGTTTGAACCTTTGATCACTTTTAATCTCATGCCCACCTATGAATTGCGTTTTAGAAGGGAATTGATCTGGTGTATCTCGGTGCACCTCATTATTGTTGACATTCATTTAGAATTGATCCAAGAGTGGAGATCTCTTCTTGCACTTCTCACTATAACTTTCCTTCTCAGTGGAACCCAGTCCTCCTGTGTGTGTGTGTGTGTGTGTGTATATATGTTGGGTTTGTGGGTTGGGTTCCCGTGAGAAGGGAAGTTACGGTGAGAAGCTTTGGATCAATCCTAATTGAATCTCAACATTAATGAGGTGCACCGAGATGCACCGGATGAATTCCTTTCTAAAGCCCAATTCATGGGTGGGAATGAGATTAAAAGTGATCAAGGGTTCAAATCTCTTTTTACGCTTCTCACCATAACTTCCATTCTCATACGATCCTTTGCCTTCGGTCTGTTTGGTTTATGTAACACTTTTCTGAATTGTTTCCTAGTAGCATTATAAGATCCTAAATTCATAGATTATGTACATATACAATGTGGCAGGCAAAACCATCACATGTGGAACCAAGCGAAAGTAAAACCACCAATGAGGCAGTGGATGCAAAAGCTGAAACCAACGGTCACCAAGAACCCGAAAAATAGAAATCGAAGGGATCAAGATCGCGTATTCTCGAGCCTTGGTTCAAGCCGCAGATGGCAGGTAGCGGCTGCTTGGTTATTTTTGCATTCAAATTGAGAACCATGATGATCCTGCAGTTTTTTTTGTTACATTATATGTTCATTCTTTCACACCTAAGATTAGATTTGTACATTGTAACATTTATACCACCAGGAGTAATGAAAGTTTACAGTGCCTTCATCACAAATCATCTATTTGACTAGAATGAAACTGTGATTTTTTTTTACCATTTACTATTTATATGCTTTGTTTCAGGCCCATAATAGGTCGATTTGAAACTTGGGGCCCACAAGATTTTCGAGGCCTAAGACGTAGTTTGAACATGTTTCTGGACACATTGTCTTTTCCATGCCTATTTCATTTTAGTCCTCTTATTTAGAGCTGTAAACGAACCGAACGAATACGAAAATAAGTTTGTTCATGTTCGTTCGTTTAACTTAACCGAACAAACACGAACGGTAAACGAACGAAAATATGTGTTCGTTTGTTTGGAAATCAGATGTGTTCGTGTTCGTTTATGTTTGTTCGTTAACATGCTAAACGAACGTAAACGAATGACCATAAACGAACGGGCTAAACGAACATAAACAAACAGGTCTAAACGAACATAAAGTCCTTGAGTTATCTTGTTTCTCATGAGCCACTAATTCTTATTACACATGATCAATTATTTTTCTTTAGTTCAGACCTTCTCCAACAGAAATTTGAGCATTTGCTACAAATTTGAAGCTAACAGATACTAGAATACAAGGGCCAGGGGAGAAGATTGTTCTTCATCGAGTCTTCCTTATCAAAATGAAATCAGAAGCAATATCCACCAAAAAAATAAAGCGATTTATAAAACAGAAACCAAGAGACTAAATGTGTATAAAACATACATGATTTGTATGACCTTGTTAAAGGAAACCAGTTAACAGGGGACGGGGAAAACGAGCAGATCGAACCTAGGAAAGAACAAAACCAAAGGAACTGTACCTGTTGAGGAGAACACGAGCAAAGATATGAAGCAATTTGGCGTTCATGTTCACAGCTTTCTTCAACCCTTCACGATTTGTAGAAGGTTTCGTCTCGAGGCTAGGTTTTTTGGGGAAAAGTGAAAAAGTAAAAATTTCAAATAAGACAAAATGATGATAAAATTTAAATCTAAATAAATTCTAAAAATTTTAAACTTAAATAAATATTATTTGAATTCAAACTAAATAAATAAAAGATTATATATTAATTTAATATATAAACGAACAAATATAAATGAACGTAAATGAACGAACAAGACTCTTGTTCATGTTCGTTTATTTAATTAAACGAACAAAAAAATTTGTTCATGTTCGTCCATTTATTAAATAAACGAACATAAACGAATTTCCCGCAGAACAGTTCGCTAAACGTTCGGTTCATTTACAGCCTTACTCTTATTTATATGTTCCTAGTGTAATTTAGATGGTCAAACTTGAAATTCAAAAACTTTCATTTTCTTTCTAAAATTTGAGTTCACAATGAATTCGAATTTGAAACCTAAGATTTGGTATTCGTTGAATCAACGAACCTTAGAGGAGATTATCTCCTGGTAATTTGTAGAATCGACGAGGTTTAATCTTCGTCTTCGTTATACATTGCATCATTTTAGGTGAAGTTGAACCTATGGCTTACTGAGAACTTAGCTTATACCAATAAGCTAGATACCTGCCACGCCAAGGCCTTTTTGGTGACGGAAGCCAAAATGTTGTGTGAAATTGTAATGTTTCTTTATTTTCTGGCAAGTTTTGAGTACATCTTAGCTCGTTGTGAAGTGGGAACCAATACTGATTTAATAGATTTTTCAAACAATATTTGCCTCTAAAGGTGTGTTTGGTGTCTAGATTGAACAAGACATGACAGAATAACTGTTCAGCATTTGATAAAATAGAACTGAACAGAACAGAACGGCCAATTTACCCTTAATTAGTTGTTCATTTTAATTAATTTGTATAAAGATGGTAACATAAAACACAATTTTTAGTTGAGGGTAGAATTGACCATGGAAATTACAATATTAGAGGTTATTTAGTGGATAAACCAGGTGTAGAAACGTAAGCCGTTCTAGCTCAGTTGGTAGAGCGCGTGGCTTTTAACCACGTGGTCGTGGGTTCGAGTCCCACGGATGGCGAATTTTTTCCCATTTTTTTCATACATGAATTAATAAAAAGTAACCAAACAATCCATGAACATGAATGTTGTTCTATAAACTTGTTCATCTCGAAGTAGAGATGGCCAAATGGGCCTGGCCCGGCCCGTAATCGACGGAGGATCGGGACAGGGACCGGTTGAGGGACCGCCGATTATGATCCGGTTAGGGTTTTTGACGTTTTTTGGGACCGGGACTGGTTATAGGCCGGCCCGGCCCGGTCAACGAAAGTCAACGAAACGTATATATATAATAAACCGTATTTTTATTGTGTATTTTTAAACATATTTACAACAAAACGTATTTATAAACGTATATATATATATATTACAAAACGTCTTTATAAAC